CTTCCTCGGTCGGCGGTCGTGTGTTCGATCTGAGCCGAAACGTTTAGCAATAGGACTGATGCGCGCGGACGTGTGTCCCCGCCCCCGTCCCCGCCCCGGACTGGTGCTGGTGCACTGCGCGCTCGACTGCGCGCCTCGTCACGGCAAATGCTTCGCCTAAGGCCCATGCCTCACAGCCCCGGTGTATTTCGGAGGGGCACTGCGCTTTGCAGCGCGGGCTCCGCTAGCGAACGCCCCCGGCAACACCACAGCGCCCTGCACCTCCCCGTCGAAGCGCCGCGCCGCGCGGCAGACGCGTTTGTTCCCCGGCGCGGTTTCGCTTTTGTACTTTACGCCATTTTTAACTGGCCGTTCGCTGCCTCACAACCGCTTCCCTTTCTGTTGGCGCGGAAAATGTTGCAGCAGCTCCGCCGATAGGAATCAGGTGCGCCAAAGTTGGGGCTCCGCCTCGGGCTCTGCTAATGCAGCCGGAATGCCGCACCAACTTGAGCAGTGTGTCTGTCGGGTGACACACTGGGCGCGTTTCCCTAAATGCGGCGGCGTTCGCGCTCGTGACCGTGACTTGGTAAGCGTGCCCGCGCCGCGACGCGGCGCGGCAAGTCGTCAGGGAACGCTGATTCCGAACCGCGCGCGCGTCGCTCTGTCTCCCTCGCACTCTTGGAGCGCGCCTAGGGGGGGCCGAGAGAGAGACGCGTCCTTCCGTGTGCCGTGTCCTATGGCCTCGTTTGGAGGCTAAACGCCGCCCGCCGGCACGTCGTGTCGTCCAGGGCCGCGCGGGGCCAGGAGCCAGGAGGGCCAGGAGGGCCAGGAGGGCCAGGAGGAACCGGCAGGAGGTGGACGATAGAGTGATGACTGACGGCAGCCCCTCCCCCTCAATGGGACCAAGAGTCCATCTGACGTGCGCGACGGCCGTCTGAGTCGGGCTGAGTGGCGGCGACCCCGAAGCCTCCACGACGCCACGCCCCTTCGGCGTGGGATAAACGAACCAAAAACGGATTTGGCGGCTCGTTGTGCCCTGCCCGACGGGCGGCAGGGTGGTCCCGAGGAAGGCGCGTCGCGCTGTCTCTCACGCACCCCTACGGAGCCCCACACGAGTGCGAGAGAGACGAATGCTGCTCACGGAAGTGCGGTGGCGATGCAGCGGCAATCAGTGCCACGCCGGGAATAGACGGACGCGGCAATCGAGCCGCGTCGCGCCGAGTGGCCATACACTCCACAGTAGCGAGTGGCTCGCGAAGCGATAAGGTGAGCGGCCGGACCCAGCCCATCAGGCCGAGCAGGCCGAGCTGGCCGACCCGAGGGGCCGAACTGGAACGAGCCAGACCGGGAATGAAATGGCGCGGCAGCGCGGCAGGACCGGCGGGACCGGCGCCTCGAAGGACACCAAGGCGTCCAAGGCGTCCTAGCGGGCCAACGCGGGGCAAGGCGGGGCGGGTCGTGGTGGCCAGTAATGAGCAGCGGGGCGGCGGGCCGGGCCGGGCCGCGGCGTCTTGTCAAGGCTCGTTCTGATAGCAGCCGTGGAGCCACTGGCAGCCACTGGCAGCCACTGGCAGCCACTGGCCGGCAAACGGCGCCGGGAAGAGGCGCCACGCCACGCCCCGCCACGCCCCGCCCCGCCCCGCCACGCCAAGAAGGTCCTCAAGGACTAGAAAGGCCGCGAGGTCCTCGGCCACCAGGACGTGGAGGCACCGGCGGCGACCTTGACCGGCAGTGCCACAACTGTGGATCCGCGCGTGTCCTTCCGAAATTTAGAACAGTTGGGCAAGGCCGACCGGTGAATCCTCAACGGAATTAAGGAGCTGCTGTTTGGGCTGTTAACGCCATAAAGGTCAGCTGAAGTCAGATTCTTGGTAGAATCTCAGCCACACTGAAAGTTTCTCTCCGTTCCGTGTGGTGGCCCATGGTATGGGGGCGGCCTGCGGCAGGCAACACTTATTGAGCATTTGATGCCCCATTACGACCCGTTTCAACATCGGAAGTGTATTCCTGAGGCGCCAAGGAGGGGGTACCCGGCCAGATGCTTGCACATACACACTGTACCGCAGGGTAGGTGGGGAAGAGAGGGGGAGGCGATTTGAATATGTGAGTCTGTGTGTGTGATACTGATGATCTCGCGTTTTACGCGCAGTCGTTTTGGTAGTTGAGTGGAGTGAGAACTGGGCCGCTGCCGCCGCTGCACTGCTGAGTCGCTTGTGACGCATGGTCGTGTTTAGTGGCTGCGGATGACTGCCGGACAACACGTGTCCGACGTGTCCGTCCACTCTCTAAGGACGAGGGGCGCGTAGTCCCGGGGACGGGTTCACAGCCGACGGAGAGACGAATCTGGACACAATCCCCGATGGGACAGAACAACAAGAAATGCGTGTGCGCGCGTGCGTGCTCACATGACGCGGAGCCTGGCAGTCTGGGAGTCACTTCACTGTGACGGCGACCTGCCCACGCCCCGACCGGTGAGGGGTGGATTAACGACCTGCCGTAATCGCACACACACACACACACACACACACACACACACACACACACAGACACGCACGCGTTCGCACGCGTTCACCTCTTTGGTGACGACGCGGCAGCCACTATCTCGAGTTGCCTCTGATTCCAAGCCGGGATAGAAGATTCAAGGTGAAGAAGCAAAGCCGTGGCGGCCAACCCCTCGGCCTCGCCCTCAGCCCTCCCTGTGGTGACACTGGGGACGCACCGCGCACCCCACCCCTCGGGCTAATCAGCCAAACGCCCCCTCGGCGCGCCGCCCCTGCCGCCCCTGCCGCCGGGCCGCCCCACCCCGAGCGATGACGACGTCCTGTCCGTCGGCAGAGGGAGGCGGCACGGCGCGAGGCGGGGTGGGGCGTGGCGGGGCGTGGCGGGGCGTGGCGGGGCGGGGCGGGGCGGGGCGGGGCGGAGCGGGGCGGGGCGGGCCCAGCGTGGGGGGCGCGCGGCGTATGGCGGGGCGGCCATGCGCTTCGCTTTGCCTTGCCGCCTTGCCGCCTTGCCTCGCTCCGTGCCGCCCGGCGAGTGCTGCTCGAGTAGCCAGACGAGCCACACGGGTAGGGCACGGCCGGCACGCACTGCGCGGCCTCCTCGCCGCGACCGCCCCGCGCATCGCGCACCGCGCACCGAGCACATGGCCAGCATGGAGGGCGACGCGACGCACGCCGGTATCATGCGCTCCAGCACGGACGGGCGCGCGCGCAAGAAGAGCACCGCCACCTTCAACCTGCCCAACAACGCCGGCGATGGCGACGGCGGCAACGCCAACCCGTACGCGGGGCGGCGCGCGTCGCGGCGGGCGTCGCAGAGCGCGTGGAAGCGGCGCATGTCGTTCGCCGCCCTGGGCGAGGTGCTGCCCTCCCTGGACCTGTACCGCCTCGGACACAACCGGAAGAAGCGGCCCTCCATCGGCGAGCTGCACGGCGACAGCGCGGCCGGCGCCACCGCGGCCTCGGTGAGCTGCCCCTCCGGCCCCTCCCCTTCCTTCTGCCCTCCGCGGCGACGCCCTGCATGGCGACGCCCTACATGGGGGTCGTTAGGCCGGCAATCGGGCGCCACAGGCTCTAACGAGGCCGCGACCTTGAACCGGCCATGCCAAGAGCCGCCGGCTGGAATACTCCGAGTCCGGTGCCCGCTGCCGCCCGCCGCCCGCCGCCCGCCCGTCAACAGGTGTCCCGCGCGCCGAGCCCGGGCGAAGCAGCGCACGGCCGTGGTGGCGGTCCTCTCCAGTGATAATTCCCCAACCATCCCGGACCGGGCAGGGCCGGGCTGGTTTCAATTTCGATTCCAGCGACGGTGGCCCCGCTGGGATGGCCACGCCAAACGAGCCCCGCGATTTAACCACTTTACGCGCGGCATTAAAACGCCATTTAAATTAAAGGCTCGCAGATAAGCCAATGCCCCGAACCACCAGGGCACCGCCCCGGTTTCTTGCAAACGCGGGCGAAGGCCAAGGCGAACGAGAGCGAACGACACCGCCAATGAAATAATTGTCCCGCCCTCGGCCACTTCGTGGTTCGCCACTTTGAAGAGCTGATTAAATCCATCTCGTGCAGATGTCCTGTTCGGGCGGACGGACACACGCACGCATCACGCTGCCCTCGGCACGCTGCCCTCGGCGCGCGGCACGCGGCGCCTGCAAGTGTGCCGCCGTGGCGCGTCGCGGGGCTGGGGCTGCGGGTGGGGGAGCGCAGCACGCTGTCGCTCTCCTGGCTTGGCGGCGCTTCGCGGAGCTTCGCGGAGCTTCGCGGCAGCGCTGGCTTGTGTCACGCACGCGGCTGCACGCGGCGCGCAGAGCGCGCACGCCGCCTCCCTCCAGCCCCTCCTCTTGCGACATGCTCACCTTGCCCATTGACTGGCGCGCCGTCGGACCGTCGGACGTTCCGCCGATCGTCCACGCCGACTGGCCGGCCCAGGCCGGCCGCCCGAGGAGGGACTCGGCTGCAAACTGCAAAAAAGACAACGGAATAAACTGCAACAATGGCGGCGCTTTGCGACGCCGCTCTCGGTGATTACCACTCTCGAGACCGCGGGATTAGGCTTATCGCGTGCCTGTGGATTAGGCTGGCGTGCCTCCGCGGCCCTACACCGCATTTGCATATGCGTTTCTGGGTCTGCGGGTCTAGGGCGCGCCGGCCCGGCCTTGGGGGCGTGGCGTGGCTGGCCGGTGTCCACGTCGGCCAAGGTCGCCAGAGTCTCCAGGGAGGCAGCGAAGGCACACTCGTCGCGCACTCGGAATGAGAGTTTTCTGAGACTAACTTCCGTGAGGGCAGTCGTGGTGTCGCGGGTGCGGACTTCGTCGGCATGGACTGTGGCGGCAGGGCGGCCACCCCAGAGCACGTCACGTCGGAGGACTCGGCGGCCCGTGACGCGGCGCGGCTACGTCGCCGCTTGTTTGCGCGGCTGACGGCTCCGTGTTGCCGGGGCACGCGTGTTGCGACGGCCCTCGGCCCACGCTGCTTTTGCTGCTTTTGCTGCTCTTGCTGAAGGCTCACCCTATTCACCTGTTGCAGCGTGACGATGGCGACCCGGCCGCAGGCGGCGGGGGCGGCGGAGGCGGCGGCGACCTGGAGGCAGCAGCCAGCGCCGGGGACGGCCACGCCGGCATCAAGCTGGGCTGGATCCAGGGGGTGTTCATCCCCTGCCTGCTCAACATCTGGGGCGTCATGCTGTTCCTGCGGTTGGCCTGGGTCGTGGCGCAGGCCGGCATCTTCCAGTCCCTCATCATCATCGGCATCTCCACCATCGTGTGCGTGCTCACCACCCTGTCCCTGTCCGCCATCTCCACCAACGGCGAGGTCAAAGGAGGTCAGTATGGCTGCCGCCTGTCCACCTGTCGGCAAATGACAACACCCCAGGCAACCCAGGCCCAGGCCGGACGCCGCGACTTGCGGCGGTGTGAAGGGCCGGGGCGGGCCGGGCCAAAGCGCCCGGGCAGCGGGCAGCCACCCCGCACGCCTGTGTGGCGGGACTGCCTACCCTGAGCGCTGCAGGCGCTCCGTGACTGCCCTGCAGTGCAGTGGCCGCGCTGCGCGGTGCGCTGTCCGCGGTTCCCGCTCCCGTCGCCATTTTCAAACCCTCCCTCCGCTTGCTTCCAGGCGGCATCTACTACATCATATCTCGCTCGCTGGGCCCCGAGTTCGGCGCGTCCGTGGGCGTGGTGTTCGCCTTCGCCAACGCCGTCGCGGCCGCCATGAACACCATCGGTTTCTGCAGCTCCCTCAACGACCTTCTCAAGGAGCACGGCCTCAAGATTGTCGACGGACACAACAACGACATCCGCATCGTCGGCGTCCTCGCCATCCTCGTCATGATCGTCATCTGCGCCGTCGGCATGGAGTGGGAGTCCAAGGTAAGACCCATCATTGAGGCCGCGTTTTATAAGGGCTCGTATACTTTGGCGACGTGTGACGTCACGGCGAGCGGGTCGGCACCACCCCGGTGGGGACCGGGGGGCGGGGTGGGGCGGACAGAACGCTTTATTGTCGCGGACGGCTCGTCGGGCTCGCGGGGGCTGTGGACGTGGTGGACGTGGTGGACGCCACCCCAACCCCCCTGGTGGCAACGCCGCCACCACCACCCCCGGCAGCGGCCACCCTCGCGGCCATATGTCTTTACTGACACGGCCTGGCTGCCTGGCCGCTGGCCGCCTGGTAGAGGGTGACATGCGACCCGCCCCGCCAGCCCCGCCAGCCCCGCCAGCCCCGCCCTTGGCCGCCGTGCTGGTCGTCGCGGCTAGTCGCGGCGTGTCCACGCGTACTCTCGGCGTTACACCGCGCCTATGCTTCTCACGACGGAGCGCCTGGAGTCACGTGCCGTGCAGTCCAGAGCCACCCCTTGACGACGGGGCGACGGGCTGGCGGCGCGTCGTCCACCCTATGTTGCTTATAAATAGCAGCCGTCATGAGTGTTGTTCGCGCGTCGCACCGCCGCCCCGCCACGCCCCGCCCCGCCCCGCCACGCCCCGCTGCACGCGAGTCTCTACGGGACGGGCCGACGGGCGGGGCGTTCCTCCCTCCTCGCCCCCGCCACGGTCAAGGCCGGGCCGAAGCTGGCGTCGGCTGGCGTCGTCGCGGACGTGAGGCCACTGTCGTCAGCCGGACGGCCCGGAGCGGACAAGCAGGGTGCGTGTTTATCGACGCACTGCTTGGCGCACGTGATCGTGTGTGCGTGTGAGGGGGAGGGGGAGAGGGAGGGCGCCACTTCGCCGCTCGGACTCGTCCGCGAGGTCCGCGGCGGCGTCCCCGCCACAGGCCCCCGCAGGCCGGGACAGCGCGCAGGCCGCGGTCCAATAACGCCGCAATGAAGCTAATGGAAATGGGAAGAGGCGCGGCGTTAACCGGCTACCAGGCCTGGCAGGGCAGCAGACTGATTCCCCGCGGCGTTTCGCCGTTCTGTCTTCCTCGCACCCACGCGGAACGCCCCAAGGCGCGAGAGAGACAGAACGACGACAGCGGTCGGTCTGCAGGCCAAAGATTGTCTCGGCACACAGCACGCGCGCGTTTACCCCGGGAACACATGACCCTCCTGGTGCGGTGCGGCGAGGTGCTTTACCCCTGGGCGACCTGTGACCCGCCGCCCGCCGAGCACGGCAGCCAGCACGGCCGGGTCGGGTCGGCCACGACTTGCACTTGGGCAAGTGACAGGGCAGGGCGGGCGTAGGTCATACGTGCTGCTACATAATACGCGTGTCATTAACGCGAGTCAACACGCACCGACGTCGTGCAGGGCGGCAGAGCGCGCGCACACACACCGCCACACCGTGACTCGGTCTTTCTGTCTCTCTTGCACACACACACACACACTGGGTCAGTGGCGGCCCGCGGCGCGGCCACCACGGCGCGAACGCTGTTAAAGTTTTACGAGTCCAGCCTGCATCGCCGTCACGGCCAGTGTCGCGAGTGTCGCGCTGTCCCGTCGGATCGGAGTGCCCATGTAATGCGCTATGATGGACCGACCGGCATTTCACCACCGTAACCCCCACCCCCTCCACTTGGCGGAGTATGGACACAACGCAAGCCGACAAGCACTTTGGCCGCGGATGCAGGGCCTGTCACCATCGGGCCAGGTGGACGACGCGTGTTGTGGCCCCACCCGTCTTGCAGGGCGAGCCGCAGCCGCAGGTGGCAACCCTACAGATGTTGCGGACTTCCGGACTGCACCACTAAGCACTGCAGTGCTTCCACCTGGTAGTGGATTTCGAAAGTCTTGGACTACAGGATTGCCAACTTCGACAGACTGGGTGTGGGCACTAACTACTATATAGTTCACCCTAGGCCCAGCAGGCCCAGCAGGCCTCACACTCAGGGCGTCCTGTGAAGACGGGGCCGCCAACCTGTCCTACGCTCACTTCATTTAAAATGTGCCTTTTGTTTCTGCAGGCGCAGAACTTCCTGATCGTCATCATCGTGGGGGCCATCGGCATCTTCGTGGCGGGTGCCATCGTGGGCCCGCGGAGCGACGAGGAAGTGGCGATGGGCTTCGTGGGGCTGAGCAGTGAGTTCATGTCGGCAGCAGAGCGCGCCGGGCAGGGCGAAGCGAGGCGAGGGGTGGCATATTTTGAGCGTTTTACTTTCCTCCCACAGCGAAGGCGTTCGCGGACAACTGGGGCCCCGACTACCACGAAAGCGAGGACGTCATGCACAACTTCTTCACCGTCTTCGCTATCTTCTTCCCTTCGGTTACGGGCATCCAGGCTGGCGCCAACATCTCCGGCGACCTCAAGGTGACGCATAGCAAGTTGAAATAACTGCCTGACTTCGCCTTTCCCTTGGCCGAGATGCCTCAACGTGGATATTTGGCGGCCCGCAGGACCCAGCCGGCTCCATCCCCAAGGGCACCATGCTGTCCCTGCTCGTGTCCATGGCCTCGTACGTCCTGTTCGTGCTCATGGCAGGCGCGTCCGCGGTGCGCGACGCCAGCGGCAACGTCACCGACCTGGTCAACGGCTGGCCCAGCAATGCATGCCGCAACGACACCGCCGGCCTGCACTGCGAGTTCGGCCTCGGTAACAGCTACACGGTGAGTCTGTCCGGTCTTCCCTCGTCTTCCCTCCAAAATGACATGTTTTGCGGAAGCTCACTGGCCCCCTGGCCCTGCAACGGGTCCGCGCGATTCACTGCCGGGACGAGTCGACGATGGAAGCACTCCGCACGTCGACGGCCACGCTCCGCCCCGCCCCGTCCCGTCCCGTCCCGTTCCCGTCCCGCCCCGTCCCGCCCCGCCCCGACCCGCGCGGCCGCGGGCTGCTTGTTACGCTAGAAATAGCGTGGCCGGCAGGCGGCAGGGCCAGCGCGGCCCGGCCCGGCCAGCCCCTCGGGCGGCACAGACAGAGGGCTTGCTGGACAGCGGCGTAGATCGACTGCCAAAACCAACGACCGCGTGACGTGTGTTGCAGGCCATGCAGCTCATCTCGTGGTACCCACCGGTCATCTACGCGGGCTGCTTCGCGGCCACGCTGTCCACGGCCCTCACCAACCTGCTGTCCGTGCCGCGCCTCATCCAGGCGCTGGGCGTGGACCGCATCTACCCCGGCCTCATCTTCTTCAGCAAGGGCTACGGCAAGCACGGCGAGGCGTACCGCGGCTACGTGCTCACCTTCTTCATCTCGGCCGTGTTCCTGCTCATCGGTGAGGTCTTGGCGCAGGCAGGTTATGCGTGGCGTCCGCGGGCTGTACTGTACTGTACTGACGACGACGGTCCTTTTGCAGCGGATCTCAACTTAATCGCGCCGCTCATCTCCAACTTCTACCTGGCGTCGTACGCGCTCATCAACTTCTGCACGTTCCACGCCGCGCTCATCAAGCCGCTCGGCTGGCGGCCCACCTTCCGAGTAAGCACCGCCCGCAAGCACCGCGCAGCGCCGCGCTGACCTGGCCGAGCACCTGGAGGTCGCGACGTCGCGACTGACCGGCCTGGCCATTAAAGAAGCTAATCCTTTTACTTGCCCGCAGTACTACAACGTGTGGCTCAGCCTCCTGGGCTTCGTCATGTGCATGGCCATCATGTTCCTCATCGACTGGATCTCCTCCGTCATCACCCTGGTCGTGATATTCGCGCTGTACCTCATCGTCGTTTACCGCAAACCAGGTTCGCACCCTTTCCCCTTGAAACGCTGGCACGGCGCGGCTCTGTCTGACTTGCTGTTCACTGTCCGCAGACGTCAACTGGGGCTCGTCCACGCAGGCGCAGACGTACAAGACTGCCCTGAACACGGCCTACCGACTGGCACACATCGGCGAGCACGTCAAGAACTACCGGCCGCAGGTGCTGGCCCTGTGCGGGGCCCCGCGTTCGCGACCTGCCCTCGTAGACTTCGCCAACCTCATCACCAAGAACAACGCCCTGCTGGTGTGCGGGGAGATCGCCAACGTAAGTCTGCAGGCCATGTGCTGGAGTCGGCCGTGCGGCCTTGCACTGATGACCGAGAGTGACTCATGAGAAACTGGTGTGGAACAGGGTTGTTAAAGTTAATTTAACGATTAACGACGATAATCGATTTTCGATAAGTTAATTTAACGGTTAACGTTAACTCGATAACATCCTGCAGACCAGTTATCGTTATCGAGTTATCGTTAACACGATTCTGGTTAACTTATCGATTAACTAAAGTAACTAATTCCCCAAAACTTACAAATGCACGCAAAATTTAAACAAAAAAGGTTTCTGACCTTCGTATTTTGGCGCCGCTGGCACTTCGCCGTGCCCCGACGGTAGTGGTAGTCAAGCCAGTACTGGGTGTAAGTCATCGCTAGTCACTTACTAACGCGCTTGTCAGTCAGTATAAGTTTGTAGAATTTTAAATTTTGATCTTTTTAACTCTATATTCCTAGTTGTCTTTATTTTATCATTTAAAGATTGGTAATGTACACATATTAGTCCAATTAGACACCACTTTTGAGCATTTAATGTTGTTTTTGTTGATTTTCCTTCATTCCCTCATCCTTTTAAAAAAAGTTAGTTACTTTTAACGATTTTCGTTAAAAGTAACTTATCGATAACTCGATAACGTGGCCGAAAGGTGTTAACGTTAAATAGTTATCGTTAACAGGGGTCGAAAATTAACTTAACGATAACTCGATAACCAAAAAAATTAACTTTAACAACCCTGGTGTGGAAGCAGGCGTCGCTGCCGCACCGCACGCGCCTGGAGCTGGCGCACAACGCCAACTTGTGGCTGCGCTCGCGCAAGATCAAGGCCTTCTACTCTCTGGTGGACGGGCTGCGCTTCGAGGAGGGCGCCAAGGCCCTGCTGCAGACGAGCGGCATCGGCAAGCTCAAGCCCAACGTGCTGCTGATGGGCTTCAAGTCGGACTGGAGGACCAGCAGCGCGGCCGACCTGCTCGCGTACTTCAACGTGCTGCAGTGAGTGGCGGACGTGACGGACGTGGTGGATAAACAGGCGTCTTCTTTCCTTTGGCCCTGCTGGTATTCGAACCGCGGTCTTCTCTTGCTCGCAGCGACGCGTTCGACAACCGAGTTGCGGTGGGCATCCTCCGGCTGGCCGACGGTCTGGACTACTCGCGGCTGTTGGAGAACGACAACTTGAACGGGTCCTCGCTCAACGACCTGCAGTCCACTCTCACGCTGTCCGTGCAGAACCTGGGCATGCTGCACAACGCCGACTCCAACCTCAACATCTCCTCGCTGCCCGGCGCGCGCTCCGAGGCGTCCCTCGCCGGCCTCCACGTCAACGGTAAGCTCGGCCTCCGCCAGCCCACTGCTACCCAACAACTAAACGCTGAGCACGACTTGGACGACGCCTCGTTCCAGGTTCGACAGTGTTCCCGTCCGAGAGCCCCAATGCGACCAAGCGCAACGCCAGCAGCCCGCTGCACAGCATCCTCAAGATGAAGAAGAAGGCCGCCTCGCAGCAGGTGCTCAACACGCCGGCCAACATGGCCGTGTCGTCCGTGCCGGTGCCCATGGACGAGCTGGCCAAGATGACACAGTTCGAGCGCCGCCAAAAGAAGGGCCACATCGACGTGTGGTGGCTCTACGACGACGGAGGTAAGGGGCGAGGCAAATTCCTCGCCTGGCTGCGGGCTGCGCGGGGCTGCGCGCTGTGCGCCCGGTGGGTAGGCCACCCACCGTGCTCCCCGAGCGCGCCGCTCAAACAGCCTTTCTGTCGACAGGCCTCACCATGCTTCTGCCCTACATCATCAGCACTAGGACGACGTGGGCCAACTGCAAACTTCGTGTGTTCGCGCTCACCAACAAGAAGCACGAGCTGGAGGTGGAGGAACGAAAGTACGTAGGCTCGTGCATTTGTTTGTCATTGAATTGGAGTTTTGTCATTCACAATGTCCTGGGAGATGTTCTGCGAATGCGTTGTCTGACCGACACGGTGTGTTGACAGCATGGCCAGCCTTCTGTCCAAGTTCCGGATAGACTACTCCAGCCTGACCATGATTCAGGACATTTCCGAGTCCCCCAAAGAGGAGACGGTCGCCATGTTCAACAAACTCCTCGATGGCTTCCGCGAGGAGGACATGAAGGATGGCGGTAAGTTGCAAACCCTTTTGGTCCTCTCACTTGCCTCCCCTTGCATTCGCGCTTCCAAGCCAAACCGCTAACGACTTGCTGTGATTCGCAGACTGCGTGGTGACGCAGGCGCAGATGGAGGCGCTGCAGGACAAGACGAACCGCCAGCTGCGGCTGCGCGAGCTACTCCTGGAGAACTCCAAGGACGCGTCCCTGGTCGTCATGTCGCTGCCCATGCCCAGGAAGGGGCTGGTGTCCGCCCCGCTGTACATGGCCTGGCTCGAGATGCTGACCAAGGACATGCCACCCTACCTGCTCGTCAGGGGCAACCACACGTCCGTGCTCACCTTCTACTCGTGAGGCGTTGCAGACCCTCGGTCTGTGCAGCCTGTCCCTGGTCACCGCGGGCACCGCGTGGCCCTCCACGCACTCCAAGGCCTGGGCGAAGGAGGCTGGGATTTCCCCGGAAACGAACTGACCGACCGACGGACCGAGCCTCCATGTGATATAGCGCACGCCCCGCTCCCCCAAGCGCAGGCGCCGAGAGGGACGCGACGCGACGCGCACCGTGCCTACCTTGCCTACAAGTTTCGTTTTCGTAGTAAATCATAGTTAGTGTCGTCGCACAAAGACAAATGGGTGCGAAGACCTATTTTTATTATTATTGTATATCGTCATTTTATTTTATTGTGTAATTTTATTGATTCCATTCGCCACTCCGTGGATGCCGTCGCGGCCTCGTGCTTGCACTTGTAGCAGAAAGCGGAAAACGCGCTGCTGGCAGCCGGAAGGCCTGTGCAAGGGAGGGTAACGGCTGGCAAGCGGTATGCTCCTGCCAGTGACAGTCTAAGTGAAGGCATAGGCATCCCAACTTGCTCCACGTTTTTTCTTTTCAGGAATTGATGTGCCAAGCTGCGTAGTCAGGAGTTTATAAGTGTATGTATTTTTTAAGAATTGTGCGCTCAATAATTTTCAACAACGAATGCGCAACAGAGATCTATTTATTTCACTTAGATAACTTTGAAACTTAAATAGACTGTTAAATCTCCACACCATTGGTAGCTAAGCTGTAGCTTAAGCCGACAAATGAATCAGTATTCTGGAAGATAGAATTATTTTCCTCGTGTACATGTTGTAAATATGAATGAATGAAAGTATGTGTATGTATGTGTGTTATATTATGGGAATAGTGTCCTCCCCCAGGAATAATATACACAAATGATAGTCTTAATGTATGAGATTTTACCCATATCAGATTTCAATGTTGTCGTGAACTATAATAAATGAAACATAACGTCTTGAAGTTTTATTCCATCCCGAGCCATTCACTTTCTCGAATTTTACTTTGCAACTTTCACGTAGGATTTTACAACCAGCTATGATTCTATGCCCGTGAGGCGTAACCAAAAATATGTATTCTGAGTAAACGACTGTGTCTCCATGGTGCACGGCCTCGTCTCTCCAACAAAACACGAATAAATACAGAATTCACACCTTTGACATATATATATATATATATATAGACATATATATATATTGTTCTCCAATTTGGACTTCCATTTTTAATTTTGAAAACAAGGCTCGTTGCCGCGTACTGTATATCTTTTGACATGGAGACATACATACTAGCTTAGTGTATTGTCTCCATGCTTTTGAAATTGCCGCACTGTCTTACTAGAGTCCTACGCGCGAGGCTACTGCCACTGCCGGCCCCCTCACCCCTCCGCGCCGCGGCCCCCCTTCCCCTTTCCCCAGCACAGCACATGTACAGACCGCCGTCGCCGCCCGCGTCGCATTTTAATTTCGAAGTATTCAGTTCGTCTCTGGCTTGCCAGCTGATAAGTAAATCTGCGTCTTAAAGGAAAGCTTGTACCCGTCGGTTTGGACTAGGACACGTAGAGCATTACCTCTGCTCCCAGGATGTCTTCTGACTTGAAGTGAGAACATTTTACTTAACCTGACCTTTGTGCCTCAATCTTGTGTTTGTTTAAATTTGTTTACCGGATGACCTTGTTATCATAATGCTGTCTCTGAAGTGATCCATCGCCCTGTGTTTGGTGCTTTTTACTGACGTTTAAAGTTCAAATATCCAATATTTTTTCTTAATTTATCAGTCGTCTATGATCTTCCATTGCACTTAAAAAGTTTTAATACTCGAAGGAGCGTAGTGCAGAGATTCACCACCCTCTAAAAGCGTTCCACTCTATTCTTAAAAATTTGAAATGTTTGCCTATTTAGTCTCTAAAATTTAAGGAAAATATCTCCCAAGTATTGTTTTAATAGTTCTTCGCAGAGATTGTCCACTAACAACCGTGTATTTAAATTTCAGAGACGGGACGCTACTTGGCTTTGGAAATCCATTGCTTGATGTTCTTGCCACGGTCACTCCTGATTTGCTAACAAAATACAATCTGAAACCAAATGATGCTATTTTGGCTGATGATTCACACAAGCCACTCATACCCGAGATGGTTGAGAAGTTCAAAGTAGAGTATATTGCTGGAGGATCTGTTCAAAATACACTCAGAGTAGCTCAAGTAAGTTTGAAATTAAGCCTTATTTGCTCCTTTCTTACTTTGTCCATTGCAAATATTCAATATTCTTTAACCTATGCCTTTTCATTAGTGGATTTTGAAAAAGCCCAACGTTGCTGCATTTTTTGGCTGTGTAGGCCGTGATTCCAACAGTGAAATTCTTGAAAAGAAAGCAAGAGAAGCTGGAATCAATGTTCAGTACCAGTACAGTGACTCACTTCCAACAGGTAGGCAACTATTATTTCTAAACTTTTGCTATTTCCATTTTGAAAATGGTTTTCTGGCACATTTATCCCTTTGGAAAACAAATATTTTGTTGTTTTGAATGTTTTTAGAGGGCGTATATTGACCTTGAAAAATGAATTATCTTCTATGTCTTATCTCTTCTCTCCGTGACGCTACATAAGTCAAAATACTGAAGTCAGTTCACTGACCGAAGTTTTTCATACTTTGATAAGAAGTTTATGAGGTTGTGTTTTGTTTTCAGGAACTTGTTCGGTTTTAGTGACTGACAATGGCCGTAAGAGATCATTGGTGGCAGATCTATCAGCTGCCAACTGCTTTACTACAGCCCATATTCAGAAGCCAGAAAACAAGCAATTAATTGAGAATGCCAAGTTTTTCTACATTTCTGTTAGTGTTCTTTGCCTATGACATGTGTCAACTGCTTCCCATTTAACTTTTTTTTCCTGTCCTACTTCGATGTTTCATCAATAATTGAATTCTTCATTTGTAGGGCTTCTTCATGACAGTTAGCCAGGAAACAATATTGACTGTTGCCAAACATGCCCATGAGACAAGTAGAACATTGGCAATGAATTTAAGTGCTCCTTTTATATTCCAATTTTTCAAGGACGGTATGATGGCAGCGATACCATATGTGGACATTCTTTTTGGCAATGAAACTGTATGTTCATCCCAAAGACATTTCTGGTCTCAGCTAATTCTTTACTAAATTATGTTCTGGTCTTATTTACTTGTTTCCTAATGTCAACAGGAAGCTTTGACTGTAGCTAAAGAGCTCAATTTCGGCACAACAGATATCCAAGAGATAGCTGTGAAAATTTCTGAATTGAAAAAGGAGGGATCCAAGCCAAGAATGGTCATTATCACACAAGGCCATGATCCCGTCATACTTGTGAAAGGTAAGTAAATTTTTTATGCTAAGATAGTTCTTGTTCTAAATGGGATTATTGCATTGGACAAATTTCTTGTTTAGGAGGAACTATCAAAACTTTTCCAGTAGAACAAATTTCAGAATCAAAAATTGTTGACACTAATGGAGCTGGAGATGCGTTTGTTGGAGGTAAGTATACATTGAATTTTCTCTAGTGCAACATCTCTGTAAGGATGGACTTTTATTTCATTTTAATGCTTCTAGGATTCTTGGCTCAGCTAATCCAAGGCAAAGAATTGGATGCCTGCATTAAATGTGCCATCTGGAGTGCTACTCATGTGATTCAGCAATCCGGCTGTGCCTTTGATTCCCACATCCATTATTTTGGTTAAGAAACAGATATGTTAAATATCAATGAAATGAATCAAATTTGTAATAAAATACATTTAGCTTGTATCAATCCTGAACAACTTATTTTAACATTGGCCCTGAATGAAAAAATATAATTCTACAAAACATTTGTATGAATGAAAATGCCAGGATAGACAACTTTTACCAATCACAACACAACAAGGACTTCAAAATTTCAGAGGAATGATTCTTTCCCTCCCAGACTAAACTTTACTTAATGCCAGAAGATGCTCGAACTTGTTTGATAGTAAATAAGCAGTGTCAGAATATGAAAGGAACATATGCTTATTCAATTGAAGGAAAAAGACCGGCGAGATTAGTTTTTTTTTAAAGAGTAAGTTTAATATTACTAGTGGTCGGCAACATCCCTCAATCGTCGGACAGCAGAACGCACTGAAGCTGCAGCAGTGGTGGAATAAACCCAGGCGCCTCCGGCAACTGTGCGCTTGCATCGCTTGCACGACCAAATGCCAACACAACTCCTCTTCATGGCGTCCTAGAGCAGAGACAAATGTCTTGAAAGGTCTACAAATGACAAGTAAGATAATAATAGGGTCAAAGTGCCACATACCTTGCCACAGAAGGTGCAAGTGTATTTGGAGTGCTGGGTCACCTCCATCTTCTTGACCATCTTACGGAGTGAGGCACCATAACGGGTACCATATTTACCACAGATTCCAACCTTCTTGGTACGCTTGGCCTGAAACACACATACACATGCACATGTCATTAACATAGAGTGAGGTCATTATTAAAAGAAAGAAAAGGTATGCTTTTAGCATGACAAGCGTAACATTGGACTCCCATCCCAGACTCCAACATGGAGATAATGCTATGTGATGGACGTAACTATAGGGAGAGCTCCTAACGAAAGTAAATTAATTTCCAATTGGCAAAGCAGAAATCAGTCACAAGGTTTATTGCAGAAATTCGAAACAACTCAAAAGGCAGCCGAAGAGTGTGTCATGGATGAAAATAAGGACTCGAAAATGGCAAATAAGCTCTGCGTCAAAAATGCAAACCAGGGCTCAAATTGGAAGAATGTGTTTAAAGACCGGCAGTACGGAACGCATGCGAGTGAGGTTAGGTGACAAGACAACAAAACATAGGCGATACGTGAGCTCGAGGATGTATAGTACGTTAAATATGGTATATGTAGATTCTAAATGTAAAAAATTGCACGTGTAAGAAAGAAGGTGGGTTCAAGATAGATTTGGATTGAGATTACGGGCCGCAAGGACCGACCCGTGTACAGGTTTGAGGTAAACAAATCCCGTTCTCATACATCTACGTTCGGATTTTCAGCATAACAGGACGCTCAGCGAAGCATAATATTATCTCATCCAGAGGGAAAAATGTGACAAGTAGAAAACTGAGGCCGATTCTTTCGGATATTTGACACATACCATTTTGACGAGATTTGGTGTACGCCTAGTCCACCGGAGAAAGAGCGGAAGTGAACTCGGCGAGACCTCAGCAAGAGGAAAATGAGGAAGAAGAAGATGGCTGGTCGCTTCTCAAAGCAGTATCCAGAGGGCGCTGAAAACATGTTGGCGGTTTCATTTGAAATGCACCGTGAAAGTGTCGTTTGGACAAAGGTTTCGGAGCTGCTCGCATGTGTTAAACTAGACACCCTGGGTCTCTAGAATGTTGAGAGAAGGTTAATTCAATTTTCGAACCACAAACACTGACGGAAAACACATTAAACCCAATTAAACCACATAAAACAGTTCAGGGCTTGCAGTATGGACAACATGACAATATTCTAGTCAAAACAATAGTTTCTAATTTTCTATGAGTACATCACAAAGTTACCAAACTCCAGCACAGAATTTTGGAATTTATTTTAGGAATTTAAACTGAGCATCTTTGGCAAGGATCAAAAATCCATCTCTATTCTGCAATGTTTTTCTTTCTTGCCATACTGTCAAGCTGCAGTAGCAGACGATATTTTGACAGGAATAAAGTATTGCCCTCTCATTTATTCACGCAGCGTGCTGTTTTGCGATCATTTGACCAATACATGAAACCGGTTCAAATTTGCTCATTCGACTCCACTGTTTCGAAAGCAGACATGATCAAACAGCTGAGCAGCAGCCCAGCAGCTGAGTCAATGACGTCAGCATAGCAGGAGAGGCAGTTGCTAAACAGAGACACAGAGGGTGACTGACACTTTATTTGGTCTCTGTGGCTCAAGTCGAAAAAATTGTTATTGGTCCATTGAGCTACACGAGTTCGTAAGTGTCGGTACCTCGTTGTCTCTAGTTACCTTGACGCGGGGGAGATGAGCGAGCTAAGCCAAGAGGAGGTACGTTGTCTTTAAATGAGTGTCTGTGTTGAGATTCTTTGTGTTGTTTATGGCAGCATCATGCTGTGTCAAGCAGCGAAAGGGCCAATTTTTCGTCTTGAATTGTTATGTCGACGGCTCTTGTGTCTCTAACACTAAAGTCTTCATCTTGTAAAGAAATTCCCTTTTGTCGAAATGTCCCCATTCATTTAACCATAGCCTTGGATGTTATTATAACCTCAGTTTTGTTCCTTGGGTGACATGCATTTCTCTAGTTTAGAAATGAATGGTGCCATCTCTTTCTATTCAGAATAGTTTATTCTCTATTTAGAACATTGATCATGTGAGGAGATTTCGTTTTCTGCTACGTAATCATGCCTCACTGTGAAATTCCTTTGTTTAAATTGGTAAGAATTTAGTTAACTCCAGATTGTTTACCTTTGCACCAATACATCGTCTACTCTCAGTCTGTTAAAACTGTGGCGGAAAGCAGTCATTCCAGAATTAAAATACCTATCTGGGTTGCTTTGCTTCCAAAGTTTTATTGGTACTAATTTAAATTGTTCAAATTTTAGATACGTCAGAAGCGATTAGCACGTCTGGCAGGCCTTGACACCGCAGGAAATGTGTCTCCAAGCCCTGCCTCCTCTTCAGCACCATCTACTTCACCCTCTAGCACTGCAGTCTTGCCATCTCCTTCTGCACCGGGTCCTTCCAGAAGTAAGATTCATGATGCTGACCCCTCAAGCTACATTGTTATTCTATTTTCTGTTTTCTATTTAAACTAAACTCATTATTGCATTTTAGGTAACCATGGAATACCTGTTCTCAACACCCAGAAAAGTGATTCATCAGTCAGTGACAATTCACTTCAAATGGAAGTGGATTGTGAAAAAACTAATGTTTCTCAAGTTGATGTTGACTCAGGATTTGAAAACATGGAAGTAGATGAATCTGATAACAAAAAAGAAGTAACTAGGAGACAAAGAGTAAGATTTGAGTGAACAGAGGCATTGTTGATTATTATTACAAGTGTGCTCCACCTAACATACCTCATTCTTGTATTACAGACTGTAAGCTCAAGTGCAGAAGTTACAGAAGATGTGGTCCTTTCAACCATATCTCGTGTTCTTTGCGTGTCTTGGACTGACCGAAGTGAAGCTACTGTTTTCCTACCACACACTGCAGAGGCCATTAAAGAAGCCAGGCAAGAAGACCCAGCCATGCCTGTAAATGTTCAGGTATAACTAAATTATTGAATCCTTACCACCACTCCACTACCATGTGCTTTTGTTTTTGGTTGTAAAATGTTTGAAACAACTGTCATTTTTACTGTCTTTAGGACCTAGTGAGCCAAGCTTTGATGGAAGTTCTAGACCAGTTTGCAAGTGGTGAAAATCCACTGACATATCACAGCTCTGAATCTCCGGCACCATCCTCATCTACGTCTACTTCGGCATCAGCCTCAACATCAAAAGAACAATCAACAGAATCTAAAGAACTATCTGCCTTGCATCTTGTTCAAGCAAAAGCCAGTAATGGTCTCAACTATCTGTTTGATTGCTATGCAAGGGTTGCAGTTGAAGAAAGAAACCAACCCAAGGTGTGTTCTTGTCACTTTTATGTTGTTTTTGTTGTTTTAAATGAAAGACTAAATATTGATTTTTGTTTTCTATGCTTGTTTTGTTAATAGAGAAGCAGCACACCTCCCCTCAAGGAGGTTCTGGCTGACATTCGAGCCCAATGCGTTCAACTCTCCTCTCTTTTGCTACAAGGCATTGCCATGGAAATAGTTCCTCAACTGCCATCTCCTCTGTTGGCTCCTGTTATGAACCAGTCTCTTCCTCGTGGTTTCCTGCCTGAACTATTTGCCCGAACCTTCAACAATAATGCAGTCTTTCTTCAAGTAAGCAGTATTCTGATCAATTTTTTATTCTATGCTTTGATTTTCCTTTCTAACCTTTTCATTAATTCCTCTGCTCAGATTATGACTCCTGTGCTGCGAGGCTTGTTCCTAAATATGCAAACTGCTTCCATCATTGGGAATGCTCATCGTCAGCCTATCCAAGCACTGTGTGATCTTCTTGAGATACGCTGTGGGCCCTCTGGTAACATAAGGCCTCTGTGCCAGCTACTGACCCAGCAGGTGTGTTGAATAACATTCATAGTTTATGGTTTTGCTTTATCCTACTAAACATATCTTTAATTATTTCTTTTAAAGGTTAATTTCTTACCCGAAGCTGTTACCCAAGCAGTGGGCCGTGAACTATCCCGCACCTCTTTCCTTGGTGCATTCATGCAAGTTTCAGTATTTGCTGAAGATGACCCAAAAGTGGCAGAGAAGTTTTTCTCTGGAAACACAAGCTCTGACAAAACCATGAATCATACTTTGCAGCTTGAACTTGACAATACAAGGGTTTGTACTATGTGTCTTATGAAAGTCAAGCTATGCATCAAAATAACTGTACTTACAGGAAAATAAAAAAAATATGGCTTTTTCTCTTGAACCTTAGTAGAAGTCTGCATGGAAAAGAATTAAAATGCGTGCCTCATTCTTTAATCTTTTTTCTATTTTAACAGTATTTAGCATTGTTTAATCTCACAAAATCTTTCTTGTGCAGGGACTTCTGGCCAAAGTGTTCCACACAGTGCTTCTGAATTCTAGCTCTCGTGAGCCTATGATGAATTGGCTTTCAGCCATGGTCAAACACAATGATAGAAGAGCACAGCTCCAAACTGAAGAGAGTGCTTTGGCAGGAGATGGCTTCATGCTCAATTTACTTTCCGTTCTTCAGCTCTTAGCAGTAAAGGTATAGAAATTTTTAATACCCTTTTAAATTACTATTTATTTGTGATGTTTGCTTGCTTGTTGTAAGTTTTTGTTTCCATTTTAGATAAAATTGGAGAAAGTAGACCCCCTTTACCCCTTTCACCCAGCAGCTGTTATTGACATAGTCAATGCGACAAGGCTGAAACTCAGTAGTCAAGAAGTCTCTGCCTGGATTGAAGGTTTAAGTAAGTTCTTTAATCTGATCCTATTTCCATGTTTTGACCAACTTAAATTTGCATTTTTGAAATTAAATTTTTGTCTTTGCAGATTCATCTGGCACTCATACATGGCTGGAACCAAAGTTTCCAACACAGTGCTGGTTCTTGACATTACACTGCCACCACTTAGCTCTCTTACCAGCCTGTGCCAAGTATCAATTGAGATTAAGAACACTCAGAGAGCTGCATAAGCTGGTATACACTACATGAATATTCCTTTCCATGAATTGAAAAACCACTTTGAGCCCATAATTATTCTTTAATTTGCAACTGTTTTACTTAATATTTTTTACTCTTTAACTAGGTTGAAGAGATGACTCAAACTGAAGCCCAATGGAAGGATCTTCCTTATGCCCAACGCAATAAGGATTTGATTCGTCGTTGGAAGCAACAAATTAAGGTAATTTTATTTCACTCAGTTGCAATTTCTTTTTTTTCTTTGCATTCTCAAAATTTATTTTGTAATGAATCTAATGATTTTATTATAATTGCAGAAATTGAATCGTAGCAAGGCATGTGCAGATGCGGGCCTGCTTGATGAGGCTCTTATACGCCGTGCAATGATATTTTACACCTCTGTAGCTGAGTTTTTAATGAGTACTTTAACTGGCTGGACAGCTGGAAGTCCACCTCCTAGCCTACCCATATCTTCAGAAATTCCCCAACTCTTTGCTGCATTGCCTGAGTGGTATGTGGAGGACATTGCTGAATTTCTACTGTTTGCTCTGCAGTAAGTACTTTACCATCATTTACAAGATAATGTTTTGTTCAGCTTCTTTCTTGTAAATTAACCACTTTTATCTTCTACTTCCAGATTTTGCCCCTCAGTTGCTGCAGATTGTATGGAAGATTCCTTGATCTGTTGGCTCTTGGTGGTTGTATGTGCCCCTCATTGTATCCGAAACCCTTACCTCGTGGCGAAAATAATTGAAGTCTTGTTTGTCATCAACCCTGGAATACAATCAAGGACAGAAAACTTACACTCTCGTGTAATGTCCCACCCTATATCTATCACACATCTCCCTTCTTATTTGATGAAGTTTTATACTGGTATGTTTCTGTAGTTATAAAAGGCCCTACAATATGAAATTCATACCGTAAACTGAGACAATGTTATCTATGCTATTGTTACAGATGTTGAAACTACTGGTTCTAGTTCTGAATTCTATGATAAGTTCACTATACGCTATCACATCAGTCTTATTCTGAAAGGAATGTGGGAAAGTCCCATTCACATGCAGGCAATCAAGAATGAATCTAGGTTTGTTGAAGTCTTGATGGGTATACAAGTATACAACTAAAATTTTTTGACCTCCCATTTCTGATGTTCAACAGGTCTGGTAAACAATTTGTCAAATTCATCAATATGCTCATGAATGATACGACTTTCCTTCTTGACGAAAGCCTGGAATCCCTCAAGGTATTTACAGCTAGGTTACTATGTAACAGTTTGAGAAGGAACATGATTGATTTTGCCTACTGTAACTATTTTTTAATTCTTCTAGCGCATACATGAAGTGCAGGAAATGATGTCTGATACTGCATCTTGGAACCAATTGTCAAGTCAGCAACAACAATCAAGGCAACGTCAACTTTCTGCAGATGAACGCCAGTGCAGGTTTGCATTTGTGCATGTTTGTATCAGTAATCTTTTCTCTCAGCAAAAATACGAACTAAATTGTATGTTACCCTCCTTAGGTCATATTTGACTTTGGCTCGTGAGACTGTTGACATGTTTCACTATTTGACTGCTGGAATACAAGAACCATTCTTGAGACCCGAATTAGTAGACAGACTGTCAGCTATGCTGAACTTCAATTTGCAACAACTTTGTGGGCCAAAATGTAAGTTTCAAGGTTTTTTTCTCTCTTTAAAAAAAATGTAAATTAGAATTGATTGGACAAGTTTTACTTATGTAGCTCCTCTACTTTTCTAACTGTAGGTAAAAACCTCAAAGTTCGAACTCCTGAAAAGTATGGCTGGGAGCCTCGCAGAGTTTTGAGCCAGTTGGTTGATATTTATCTTCATTTAGACCATGAAGAATTTGCATCTGCTCTCGCAGCAGATGAGGTAAGATATCTTTCCTTGATGTCTTTATGATGTTCCTGTTCGGTAAACCTGCAAACCTGCTTGTTTTTTAACAAAATAATTAAAATTTCAGCGCTCATTTCGCAAAGAACTGTTTGAAGATGCAGCAGTTAGAATGGAGCGCGCTCGTATTAAAACCCCTGATGAAATAAAGAGATTCCTGGCTCTTGCTCAGCATGCTCATGAAATCGCTGTTCAAAACATGAAACGTGAAGTGGACTTCAATGATGCTCCAGAGGAATTCAAAGGTGTGTTGGTCAGGCCATTTCCTACATTGGAAACTCCATAACTTAAATAACAGTCTGTCGCTCGTACTAATTGAATGCTCTTATTTTGAACCAGATCCTCTCATGGACACATTAATGGAAGACCCTGTACAACTACCATCAGGAAAGGTAATGGATCGCCCTGTAATCATGCGACATCTACTCAACTCTTCTACAGACCCTTTCAATCGCCAACCTCTATCAGAGGATATGTTGATGCCTGGTAAGATTAACATATTCCCTCAGGCTACATTTTTCAATATTATTCTAACCAAGGTGTTTTGTTGTCACATATATTTTCTTTTCTGTCACCCAGCTACGGAATTGAAAGAAAGAATTGCTGTATGGAAGCAAGAAAAACTGAGATCCAGTCTAACTTAAGTTGATTTTTTAACAATCATTTTTCAGCATGATCTCTTGATTCTTAATTAATTTTCAAATAATTTGTACGGACTTGTTTGGAAGATCAGTTGTAGTAGGTAGAAAGATGCCTCAAAGAATCTTCGAAAATGTTCTTAATGTTGATTTTTTTCTGATATTCCTTTTTTTGTCTCCCTTTTTATATGGAGAATAACAGTTTTCTGTGTTGTTAATATAACCCCCAATCATTTTGTGAAATCTGACAAGGACAGTTTTTAGTTCTTGATGGACCATGTTTAAAATTGTTAGTTTATTTATTTTTCGTTTTTGAAGAGTGTTTGATAGAACTGGCTGTGACGTTGCTTTCAAGAGTTTGTTGAAGCTGCTTTTTCAAATCTTGCGGCTGTTTTGCCAGGACCGTAAGTGTTTTTCTCTCCTATTTTGTTTTATTTTTTTAAATCATTGTTTTCTTTTTATGCCATGAAAATCCTATTGGTAATTGTTAAACAAAACACTTTCCTGCATTTCCCTTGGAAAGTCTGTCAATATTCAGTTTTCAACTTCAGCTCTTTGACAAACAAGGGGATATTCTAAATTTCTTCAGGAAGTGTTGACCTAAGCAACATTAAGACTTTTAAATTGCCTTTCCAAGGAAAATGCAGGAATTTATCAAGCCTTCTAAATACAAAACCAGTCAATGTTGTTGTTTTGTAACAACCACTCTTTACATTGGCAGCATTTTATGATCCTGTGTGTATAAGAAAAAGGATTATTTATTTGTTGTGCGGGTTTGCACATAATCTTAGTCAAAAAGAAATTATATTTTTGTGGAATGCTACCTGGTGATGCTATTAACGTTCTGGCATAAAATCCCATGTAAGGTCTACTGTTAAAATATTTTTAATTTTCAATACCTGTTGAAGAAGTTCTTAGTTAAAATGCAAGTTGAAATTTGCAAACCAAATTTGATGATTAAAGTCGGCCTGCACTCACACATACACTCACTAACACCTAAAAACACTGATAATCGAAACATCAGAGCATATCACTGCCAAAAAATATTTACTACACTTACGATATATTGTTTTGTTCACGCACAATGCCCACTTAAATTATTTGGGAAGTTATTTATTTTCTGGCTTACTTGTGCATGTGTAGGCTCATAATGAAAACTATGTGATATATCAAAGTAGTGGTCTATCCATCTGTTAGTTTAGCCGGTGAAATCAACCCTTTAATTTTCTTTTTGTGAGTACTTCGATGAGTCATGTGGATTTTACAGTGAACTAATCTAGAAATGGCTAAACACTATGAAGAAGAACATTGTTGCTGTAGTATTTAATTTTTGAATTGAGAAGGCTAAGCATCTAGATTGTTTTCTTCACCCTTGTAGATGTGGTATTTAAGAAAGCAAGCACTTAATGTGTATATATTATATGATGGGTTTACTAGCAGTAAATCTCATGTATCTTTAGTACTGGACCTAATAAGAACTGAATTAAAAAGTAATTGACCAAAGGGTCCGAACTTAGTTCTTACCTGCACACATTTTTGTTCTGTTCAAAATTTTTTTTTTAACTCAGCCAGGCACTCATAAAGAACGTTCTTGCTTTCCACTTTGAAGTTTGGGCTTGTCTTCTATCTCTCTGAACTGCATGTTGAGTGTTGTTAGTCAAACCCATGTATAACGCTCAGGAGCTATCAAAGATTTCTACTCAAAATGTGAGATTAATGTAACTATGTTGACTGTCACATTATGAAGAATGATCGCTGTAGAATAAGACTGAACCTTTTTCTTATGTGGCTGTCTTCCATTTCATTACTGCAGGGAAAGGCATTAATGTTCTATAATCCTTGATATACTGTGTGCCAACCGATTTTAACATTTAAGCGTATTGGCACAGTGTTTTCCAAAAGTAATGATAGGATTACTCTTTACTCGTACTTCTACATGTAGTTTGAAACTACAATTGGGTTCAAAAATTACTGTTTCAACTTTTAGGAAATCAATCAAAATTCATATTTAAATTATAATGCTGTTGATGCTGAAATTATTATTTAAAAACATCTTAGATGAGACTGAAGCAGCTCCTTCTAGCTTAGTCAGTTGTTAGTATTACAGTTTGCATCACACTGTTTAAGTAGCCTTTGTTACAGATATTATTTTTTTTGCTTCCTGTGTTAAGTATTACTGTTTCTCCCTACTTTCAATCCTTCATGCCCTAGCAGTGTAGATATGAGGCAAATTAACAAGAAATCTCCGTGAATACATGTTGTCACATCAAGTTCAATTCTTATGTTTTTAGTTGAAAGTACAAAGTCCAGAGCATGTCTGATTTGCTAATGCAAATTGCACTTGTCTCTGTGCTCGTTTTTGTGATGTTTTACTTTATTTCTTGAATGAAGGCAACACACTTTTGAAATGGTTTTAAATTGCTTAGGAAAGAAAAATGCTGGCCTTCATCAAATTTTAACTGTTACACATTTAAGGGGAGTTTGGGTGTATCTCAAAAGGCAAAAGTTTTATGTACTGTTGTAAACATGATAAGTAATTGGAATTCCCAGATTTGTGTTTATTGTAAATAGAATAATATTATTTTATGTGTCCTGAGAGATAAAAAAAATAAAAGTATGAAAGTGTACAGATTGTCTTGGGTACAATTATTTTGTTTTGTGTCAATACACAACACAGACGACTCAGAGCTCTTAGCAAATGAAGATCAGACGCTGCTACATCTCTAACTCGTACGACCCTCATCTATTTTTTTGCATTTCTCTGAAGGCTGAAGGCTGATTTATCTATTTTGGATAAAGAAATAGATGAAATGGATTTATAGAATCTAGTTTTAATATAAAAGCAAATATAAATAATCAGACATATCACTTTTTGAGTTTCTTGGCAAGCATTAACTGAACAAATGACACACCAACATGCTGGTTTTAAAAAAATTCACTGTTCAATCGCAATACTCTTACTTAGAGCTAGAGCAAAGTGAAGGCTGGGAACAGCTGCTAAGAAATAACTCACTTCTTTTGGAAAGGAGATGGATTGATAAATAAATAAATAAATAAATAAATTGACATAACACCCTTGTCATAGGTGCAGCTGTCAAGGCCATAGTTAAAAGAAAGGTTGGAAGTGGTACTGCCTTCAGATCAAAAACAGTAAGCATGGTCACTGTCAGTTTTCAAAACATACCATATTGAAAAGTTGGTGATGTAAAAGTACGTTCCCAATCATCAAACGTCTAAGATACCATATATTTTTTACAATCAAAGCACTGCTCTGCAAGCAAATCAAAGTTCTTCCCTCCCCAATTAACAAAAATTTGAAAAAGTTGTAGTTAAATGTAGCACTAAGGACAATATAAACAACGCATTGACTTTCAACTTGCCTGAAGATGCCAACATACCTTCTTAACTCCTAAATGTTCACATACTAAACACATGGCCTTAAAAAAAAATTCCCACAGACAAATTTAATTTGAAACCAAACAAAGACCAAACAAATTCACTAATCCCTTTAGTCACAGATATTGTCTAAAATATGATATGAAATGTTTGAAACATCTGCTTTTTCTGTTAACAGAGGTAGAGCATGATATGATGCAGGGAAAATACCAAATCATTTCTTTGAAAGGAAAGGGGAGGGAAAATCTCCAGCGAAAGTTCCATTCCCTTGGAAAGAACATCAGTCAACTGTCTACTGTAACTTGTAGTATTGTTATTGTCATGACACATCGATACTTACTTATGCTGGCATCCACAGAATATGCAACAGGCCACTATAGGTAGCCATAACAAAAATATATTATTATTACATAAATAAATAAGTTCTTAAAGACAACAACTTTGTTAAGCTAGGTAAGACATATGCAAAGTTACTATCAATGTAGAAATCAATGTCATTAAAACTCACTTAGTGACTAATTGCATAGACATGCTACTACTTCTAGCATTACTACCATCACTTGACAAAGGCAAATTAAAACTTAAGATTTCAATACCTGCTGTAAGTACACACCGTTCAGGATAAAACCAAATGAAAGCACTCTATGTAAAGGTTCAATCACAGCAATGTCAAAAATGAGGAAAGAAAAAAGATTTAGGGAAGGAGGGTTTAAGTACTTAATTTACTAAGGCCATTTTTTGTTAGATGGCGAAAGAAATGAGCGATGTGAAACATAGACATATGATGATAACGAGATTTGTTTGATAAAAAAGGGATACCAAATTGTAGAAATAGAGACCAACTGAGTTTGTTACGCACATTATGCACTATTGGTTTCACCATCGGTTTATTACGTAATTTCAGTCATAACTAGGGATATCTTTCGCATTTAAATTAGTTCAGAAACAAGTTTGGAAAACGGATTGACATTCTATTCTCACTACATTAGTTACACAATCTACCCCCACAAAAAGGCTGGCAAAAAAAAAAAAAGTAATTGGAGTGCAACATTTATTAAATTCCAAGGGTTCACCTACAAGACTCCATGTTTTTAATCTTAAGACAAGACAAGAATGAGCCACCAACAAGACATTTCAGCTAGAGCCCATACAGTCCTCCCTCAAGTAAATCTGTAAATAAGGTCCTAAAGCTACAAAATTTTAAAAACCAATGTTACTAGAATGATGATTTAAATTCGATAAAAGGATAGCTTACTTCTGTAGTCACAAAATCACATTAAGGTTGCCTTGAAATATTTTATAATGAAGCACATCATTTATAAAAGAGATAGTAGAATCTAATGATTTAAGAAAGGTAGCTGACTGGTCTCAACCATACTGATAGTTATAACATACAAGACACCAAAGAAAAGATTTAATTTGGCTGTCTTTTGGGGTACTTTTTGAATAGTTTCAGGATTTCGGAATTGCTTTTCAATGTCAAAGGCTGCTGGCAGAGTTACAAGTGGCAGTAAGAACCAAAGACTTAGTCTCACCCCCAAGACCACAAATAATATGTATGGAGTGAACAAAAGGAATGCATACAAAATATGAGATGCTGTATGACCAATAAGTATAGCTAAAGTAACTATACCGACTCGTTGGTCGCTTTCTAGATCACGAGTATTGTTGCTATGGAGTATTGCTTCAGTATTCAAAGCAAGTGGAATCGCATAATAGATGGTGGCAAAATCTATTCTTCCACTTTGAGACATGAATGCGAAAAGGACAGATATTGGGCCAAATATAATTAATATAAGAACATCTCCTAGAGCTATATATTTTAAACCAATGCCACCTGTGTAAAGAAAAGAGCTTGATAATCCACCAAAGTACACAAGAGCTAAATGTTCCATCTTTGCTGGTGATATTGCGGCAAGGAGAAGGAATCCTATAGAACCCGCTGCATATAGCACTCCTCCCAGTGTTGCAACTTCATCCTTAGACAAAATGTGATCCACCAAAGTTCGGTCATCACTTTTACGTCCATCTATACCTTTTACATAATCAAAGTATGTGTTTACAAGATTTCCTGCTCCATGTACACACAAAACAGTTAAGAGAGTGAGTAACAATGTTACCCAACTAAAGAAACCAGCATTAGGACTAAGTTTATAGGCGAGCGCACAGCCAGTTAAAGTTGGCATCAATGATGCACTCAGTGACCATGGTCTTAATGCCAATAAGTACGAAGACACTTTCATCAGAGTAGGTTTGGAGTCCGTTTGAGCTGAGGTCACTTGGTGCACCGTTTTTGTTGTTTGCCCATTATCCATCATAGATTTTCCTGTTAAGAAAATAAAAAGACACAACATCAGTCAACAAGAAATGTTACTTATAAAACTAAAAGTTTAAACCACATGATAAGTAACAACATAGAAGTCTCCTACAGATTTCCATACAACATAGAGACCGATTCAAGTCACTTGTGGCCTACATTTTTTCACATATGGAACATCCAAACACACAGAATAGATTTCCACCCCAAAAAGGACAAAATTTATTCGGAATCTCTCAACATTCAAAAACACAATAGAGAAGATAGAAAGTTTTTCTACATTTGTCATAAATTGGCTGTATTTCCTATACTTACAATGTTGAAAGCACAGTGGTAACTTGAATGAAGTACGTAAAAATTCAATATGTTGAAAAAACATTAAAGCATTAATTTGCCTTTCAAAGGACAATCACACCTTAACTGTGTCTGTGCTAAGATTTAAATGCAACATCCAAACTTATTCTGAATTTTTTCAGAATACAAAACTAAAGATAGGCTATGCTGACCTGTTCTTTACAACACCGCTGTCTGCTGTCGGGCAGACACCGTGACCGACACACCTAAACATTCCAAATGCCGGATATGTTCCGTGTGGCATCCTTTCTGCTACTTTCATTTCCGGTCTCTGCCTAAATATCTCCCTCCCTCTCCCCTCTCCCCTCCCCCTTCCTCCGAGTGTTGTGTTGACGCGACGGTGATTTTAGCGAGCGGACGGTGATGGGTGATGGAGTTTTGCTGACTGCTGTCAGCTTGTGTTAGTGGCGATATTTTCCTTCTGAACTAAATCAAAAGAATGGCTTCGTACAAGCGATCCTCGTCACCTTTCCTGAAAATAGCGAAAAAGTTTAACTGTTTCTACATTAACGGTGCGTATTGGAGGCTCAGTATGTAGCGTTTGCCCGACCCTGTATCATGCACTCGCACGCCGATGTTAGCTTCCTGCCTTCTTTGGGAACACTCTATGTTTCAATTGACTCTATTTTGTTGATCTTAATCCTCCAGCAGATTTTATTGATTCTCAATGTTCATTTCATTGTTATTCTTTCGATTCTATGTGGCTTCACCTGGCCTGTTGTTGAGGTTAGGACTCATATTCTGCCAGGTCAAAAGAACTTCCATTCATTATGTTTCTATTGTCTCCATTTTCTGGGCGTTCCAATCTCTGTTCTTTAGTAACACTCTGGATGGATTCATTGAACGTTCCTTAAGGGGGCAGGGACCAGAATTTTTAGGTAAAGATAGTGACTAGAAGTTTTACTTCGTGCCTCTCGATTTGGTACAAACAAAGTAACAATATAGAAGTTGCGTTGTTTCTCTTCTGCACACTGAAGTTTCAATGATTATACATCACTGAATTGATTTACATTGTACCCTTAGTACATCAGACTTGTGTTGCTTCTATGTTTGAGGACGTTTTATCAAGCATTGCAAATTTTATGCACATTTGTCTGAATAATTACTCTGGTTTCAGGTCTTCCAAAGAGGCACTGCAAGCCCTTTGTTGTCGAAGGCCACCAAGTTGGACTTGTTCGTCCAGACATTATGGTTGAATTATTGCGTTATCCAGAGGTCTTCATTGTAAGGCCAGATTCTGTTGAATTAAACCCAGCATTTCGTGACTTTGATGAGAGAACTGCTCGTGTTGAGCAAGTTTTGCAGGAATGCAGGGCTAACAATACATTTGTTACCCTGAAAGGTTGGAGAAATGAGGTAAGATTTATCCATTTTTAATTATAATTATTATTTATTATATTTTATTTTTTTCATTTTGCTGCTTGTTGTATATATTTATCTTGGACAACCAAAAAATGAAAGCTATATGTCCTTTCCATCTATCTAACATTGGGAAACATGTATTGTGTTCATAGTGCTACAACGTGCATTCTGTCTTAACTGATCCACCACTACTCCGCATGGATCGGTCAGCGACTTGTGAGTAGGCACATCTCTTACACCTTATAATCTTTAACATTCATATGTTAAATTCTATGTTAAATTTGTTTTTAGGTCTGTTTGGCATACGTAACTATGGAGTTACTATCAATGGCTTTGTTCATGACTCAAACAAAGGGCTGTGTCTTTGGATGCAGCGCCGGTCCCCTACTAAAGAAACATGGCCGGGGAAATGGGACAATATGGTAATAAATTGTGTTCATTGTCTTTTCATTCAACTTTCTGATAAAACATAAAAGATAAATTCCTAGTTATATAAATGCCTATTAAAAGACATGGCTATTAACAGCTTTTAAGAGAGTGTATGCACCCAACGGTGCTTGCACTTCGTATGTGCGCCGGTTGGCCGCCGGCGGCATTACCCTGTTCCCGACACGATGCATACAGTATGTTGTGTTAATTATTATTGTTGTTGTTCAGGTCAGTGGTGGTTTAAGTGTTGGATATGGAGTTATTGAAACTGCAATCAAAGAAGCTCAAGAAGAGGCTGGCATACCAGAGAACATGCTCAAGGATATCAGACCTTCTGGTGCAGTATCGTAAGTGTTTAAGAACTAGGCTTGTCTGTTAAATGCCTGAGGTATAGGCTGTGTTAACAATTCTATTTGTTTCCAGTTTCTTCTTTGAGAGTGAGCGTGGATTATTTCCCAATACTGAGTATGTCTTTGACTTAAAACTGCCTTGTGAGTTTACTCCGAAGAATAATGATGGAGAGGTGGAGACTTTTGATCTCCTATCAATTAATGTAAGGTTTTAATCTTATTTTTTAGTTGTAGGGTGTTTTCTTCTCTTTAAAAACTGTTTTTCCAATTTTTTTTTTAGGAACTGAAAGAATTGATTGCATCTCCTGACTTCAAAACAACAAGTTTACCAATTGTCATAGACTTCCTTGTCCGTCATGGAGTGATCTCCCCCGAGACTGGTGGGTTGGGTAGTCTCAAAGGTACATGTTCTATGCATGTCCGCTTGGCTGGGGTTTAGGTAGTGGCTGCTAACCCTGCTCTAAAACATGAAGGGGTTCTTTTTTTTTCTCTTTTTAATATGTGTGTATATGCATACATCTATATTTATTGATCTGAACAGGGTAGCCCACGGACCTCGTGCCATATTGGGAGGGTAGGCAACTGGTTCATTAAATTTTCTCCTAGTTGCAATCGGTTTCAAAAATTGGCCTGCTATGGCTCTTTGGCCTATGAGACATGGGCTTTCAATCATTGCATGAAGCAAAACATTCTAGTTAAACTTGTATTGAACCACACCAGTTCCAGCCTTAATTCGCAGATGGATACGGGCTGCTTACCTCCTCCAGAAGTTGCTAATACTCATTCAGGGTCCGTGAAACACCCTGTAAATTTTCACAAAATATATGTATTAATATACATATTGATTTTTTAAATGCCTCCTCAAAAACAAAACAATCACTTACTGTAAGTTGGAATTATTTCCACCCCTCCACCCGCACTTGTATCCATACAAGAATGTGTGGATTCAAATCAAGACTAAGGTATGAATCATCATTCATTTTGAAAATACTCAGCATATGTTAATTAGATGATGACTGATGACTCCTGTTGTGATGCTTCCTGGTAGTATTTTTTTCTTCTACCCTTATATTGCTTCTGATTGAGCATGGTCGTGTTCAAACTAATGCTGTATGTGGCTTGCTTGGCATGAATTGTCTCATCTTTTATCTGCACATCTTTTGTATTTCTTAGCTGTCTCTCGCTGTTCACTCTCTCTTGCTGTGGTGTTTGAGCTTGCTTTCGAATTTCTTTTAACATGCTACTGCGTGTGAAACACACATTCTTGTTAGGCAGCCATCTTGTATCAATGATAAACTTTTAAGATCAATTTGCATATTTTAGTATGTGTACAATTTCCAGCATTTACTGCCCTGTGAGCTTTAATGTCCAGAAGCACATTTACTGTTATCTTTCTCTTAGTCAAGTTTAAATTTAGGAGAGAAAATGGTGACCGTGTTGGGGTAATCTCTTTGTTAAATGTTAAAATCATGTTACAGAACCCAACTATGCTCAGCTGCTTGAGCTTCTACATGTACCACTCCAAACAATTTACCATCGTGCTGCTCCTTCTGAAAATGGAGACAAAGGTCTTTGACTTGCCAATGAACGATCTGCTTGGATCAGGGCAATAAAAGGTAAGACCACACTTTACTTCCTTATTGCTGAGCAAGAGCAGCTCTCCTTTGGACCTTCTGAAGCTTGTAGTTCTGACAGACAAGGCGTTCATATTAATGTGATTCCAAAACTCTATCTTGGAACTTTCCTTCCATCTCTGTATGTGTGCACACATACACATGATACCTATGTACTTTTACATGTATCAATCCATGTCTTAGGGCTTAGTGAGCTTTGCTTGTTTGCGTTGCAAGGTGGTCAATTAAGGATTGTGCCAATTTTGCTTTTATGTTGTTTTTCTTTCTTGTGCAGGTACTTACACAATTTTTAAAAATTTTATTCAACTCGTGCATTAGTGCCTTGAATGGAAAAGAATGTTTTTGAAGAAGAAATGAAGAAGTAGTCATAATTAGGAAAGTAGTTTAAGGAAACATTCCTGTGTGTTTGTTTGAAATTTTATTGCATGTTATGCAAGATTTCATGATTAATAATCATCATGAAAATTAACATACACTTGTCTTAATTTCACTGCAGTTTCATTTTAAGACATTACTTCAAACTCTTCACAGTTTGTTTTGTGTATGATTATTCATTAATGGTTATTCAGTTTTTGCTTCTTTTAAATACAGTAATATATATACATATATATTATATATAACATTCATACAGATACAGTATATTATAAAAATTGAACGGAAGGGTTCAGCTGCTTCATTTCACAGATATTTTATTGGTTAGCGATACTGCATTATTGTCAGTGTCACACTTGTGCAGTTGATACTTGTTAACCTTAATCAAAATAATGTTTCTCAGTCATCATTTTAATCAACTTAATTGAAGTCAGAATCACTGTGCTTTGATTTTGCCTGTTAATGAACTTCGGTCAGTTCTGATAATCATTTAGTCCTCTCACCTTGCTTTCTTTTTTTTTCTGTCAACAGTAAGACCCAAGGACTCTTGTGATAAAGCAATTTTTCTCTGTTGATTCATTTCCCAACAAATTGTATATTCTGTGATGTAATGGTTTCTCTTAGAGTGGGTACTTGAGGAAGTCTATGTATTATTATAATAAACAAAACATCAAGACAGTGGTAGTTTTTTTCTTTCTCTTTCTGTAATAACAGAACTTTTTTCTGTATTTTATAAGATAAATGCTTTCATGTGTTACAAGCACATTATTAAAATAATGTGCAGCCCTTCTTAGCAATGTACTTCACATTTTTAGGATAGAAGATGACACTAGCATTTAATGTGATGCTTGTAGGTATATTGTATTTACCTAAATTTTAGTGTGTGGGAATGTGCAAATATTATTTATTAAGTTATTTTCAATTCATTTCTGTTACTTCTGGAAACTTTTCTCAGATCATTCTTCCCCAACACAAACAAACAACAAAGCATCATCTCTAGTGAAGGAAAAAATTCATATGTACTGCGTATTTCTGTTGTCTGTATACCTTATGGTGAGTGAACCCTCCAATCAGGGTTCACTTGAATCTCTGTTGGCAGTGCAGGTTATGGAGAGTAGTCTTTATCAGTATAATATCCTCGCTTGGAGTGGCAGTGTTTTGTTACTCATACCAAGCTTCATGTGATATGAAGATTTGATTGTGCGTGTGCATGTATGTGTGTGTGCGCGCGTGTATGTGTGAGCGTGTATGTGTGTGTCTCCTAACAGTTGTACATTCTGTACAGGGAGCAGAGAAAGCCAACTGTATCATCAAATCAGGTGTCATGAAATATACTTGTTTTTACTGTAATTAATTACTTAAATTAATAAGTGCATAAACCCTCACTATAGTTTATTTAATCTGCTGTAAGATTATGTGAAGTGTTGGCTGTTTTGAATTTCATAACTCTACTGAGTACAACTCTGTTATTGATCTCACACTTCATATCTTCAGTTTTAACTTCTGTGGGTGAAGTCTGCTATTTGAGCTTAATGTTGGCTTTCATCTCAGCTCATAACAGTTTCTATCCCAGAGTGATTGCTTTCTCTGCTTTCTTTATATCATTTACATCTATAATTAATACTGTCAACAACCTGTTCAATCTAGTCTATTTCTTTGGCAAATCTTCTTACCACCATTCTCTATACTAGTCTAGTTTATTTTCTGGGATTGCTTTGAAGGTTTTCTAGTTCTAGTCAGGTCAAGACTTTTTTTTCTTTTCCCATGAACTTTGATCTACTTCACCTTGTTTTTGTTTAACCATTATTTTGTTTAATCTAATTTGGTAAATAAAGGTGGTTGCTTCCGATTCCAGCCCTCCTTGCCTTAACATCCTCACAATTGTTTCAAACCAGTAATTTTCTTGTTTTTTCTTTCAATTTTGAAGGTGGCTGCCTATTGGTGCATCCAGAATCATCTATTCCAGAATCCTCAACTCAACCCTAATCAAATATAAGGGTAGAGGAACACACTCTTAAGTAAAGAAAATGTTCTTTATTCACTTGCATTCGTGTGACACCATTCATCTGCTTGCACCTTTCAGATACACAACAACTGCACCCACACGCAATAAGCAAGTTATTGTAAAGCATAATACTGAAGAGAATCGGGACCAATTTGCTCTTTCTCACAAAGATAGATGAAATAATTACAAATCTATATCAATACACACAACTGATAAGGTGGGTCCATTCACAATTTTAATCACAAAGTTTATTTACATTATAAATATATCCGAAACTCTACAATGCGGACCACTTAATTGTTGGAACAAAAACTTATGGAAATGCACGGGTTTGAAGAAGTCTCTCTTACCATTTACATGGTATTGTGAGTCCATGTCATGAACACCAATATGGTGCAAACATTAAGAGATGATGTCAAACATGATCAATATGACATCAATAAAAGATTAAATCTTGCACATGACTTCTTGTTCTGAATTTTAGTCAGCAATTATGAAACAGAAAAATGTGAAGAGAGAAGAGGAACATTAAAGAATTCTTTCTCACTCACTGGAATCACATAAAACTGTCAGTCTGTCGTAAAGGTACTTCGTTGGGACTAAATAATAAGAGATCTTCACAATTCATCATGATCTTGATCTTCATCTTCCTGCTTGTCATCCTCTTTGTTTGTTGAGTCCTCTTCAACTTCTTCCTCTTCTTCAACCTGTTCGTCTGCTGGTATACCTAAGGTTTGCCTCATCATTTGTTCTACACTGGCTGCAAATTCAGCTGTATCCTTAAGCATGTATCCTGAACGCAGGGTTGCTACAAAAGAAGAATATTCAGTTAAGCTCAACCATAGCACAGAATAGCCTAGAGACAGCAAAACAAGACATACCTGTCCTGAACATCATAACAGCCATTTCTTTGGCAACAGGATCTTGAGCGTTGACCTCTACCCTCTGCAGAAGGCTTTTGATCAATGGGTGACGGGGGTTGATTTCTAGAGTTTTCCGTTGGTTAAGATGATAAGCTCGGTTGGGATCATCAGCCTTTTGGTGAGCATTACTCACTGCCAAGCGCTCCATGTTGCCAGTCCAACCGAACATGCTGGCAACCAGCGCACATGGTGAATCAGAAAGGCGTTCTGACACAGCAGCCTTTGCAATCTGTGTAGTGGAATGAAGAACCGCGATTCAGCTAAAATCATCTTTCAGATAATGGATTGGATTAAGAAGCAAACCAAAACAATACCTGATCTTTCAAGGCTTCTTCAGAAAGCCACTTTGTGAGGGGCTCAAATGCTTTGATAGCAGCCTCATGGCGGTCCTTGTCAGCCTCAGAGAGAGAAAATCCTTCCTTAGCAACGTTTTGGAATTTCTTTCCTTCAAACTCTGGCAGAGCTGTGATACAGTACTCATCAACTGCCTCCACCAAGTACAGGACTTCATACCCCTTCTTGCGAAGCCTTTCCACAAATGGTGACTGCTCAACCTGAAATTAATTTAAAAAAAAAACAAAACAAAACAGACATTAACAAAATTGATTAGAAATAAAAGGAGGGTAGATTGAATTGGCTGTATCAGTTACCCACCTCCTCACGATTAGCACCAGCCAGATAGTATATATGAGTTTGCTTGGGTTTCATGCGGCTAACATACTGCTCTAAAGATGTCATCTCTGGTTGGTTGGATGAATGGAACATCAGCAGCTTAGCCAAACGTGAACGGTTAGCGGCATCTTCAACCACACCAAGTTTAATATTAGTGGAATATTCCTTCCAGAATTTCTTGTATGAGGTCTTGTCCATTTTCTTCATCATGTCCAGAGCTTTTCTAACTAATTTCTTCTTGATCACTTTCAAAAGCTTGTGCTGCTGTAAGGTTTCACGAGACACATTCAAAGGTAGATCATCTGAGTCAATAACTCCCTGAATAAAACTAAGGTAGTTTGGAAGCATTTCTGCAAATTCATCTGTGATGAAGACTCGACGAACATATAATTTAATGTGGTCACTCTTTGTTCCATAACGATTGAAAGACTCGCTTGGTAGAACTGACGGAACAAACAGCAGAGATTTAAATGTTACTTCTCCCTCGGCAACAAAATGAACCTTCCCAAGAGGCTTAGTAGCATCCTTGGTGAGGGCCTTGTAGAATTCAATATATTCTTCTTCAGTGATATCAGCTGGTTTTCTAGTCCAGATGGGTTTGCTGTCATTCAGAAGTTCCCAGTCCCACACAGTCTTCTCGACAGTCTTAGTCTTTGATTCCTCATTCTTGTCTTCTTCAACCTAAACAATATTCAAATTAGAAAATTGCATCACCCACTAGCCTACAAGAACAGAAAACATTACCACTCACCTGCGCTTCATCCTCATCTTCTGGAGTTTTCTTGGGCTCATCTGCCTCCTCGATAGGTTCCTCTACTTTGACAGTTTTACTGGCCCACAGGTGAATAGGGAAGTTAATGAACTGAGAATACCTCTTTACAAGGTTGCGGATAGTATCTTGCTCAAGATAATCACCAGCCTCTTCTTTCATGATAAGGGTGATTTGAGTACCGCGTTTCAGAGTGTTACCTCTGGGGTCTTTTGTAATGGAGAAACTGGATGCATCAGATTCCCAGATGTACTGGTCATCATCGTTGTGTTTTGTGGTAACTATGACCCTATCAGCCACTAAGAATGAGGAGTAGAAGCCAACTCCAAACTGCCCAATCATGTCGTTCATATCTTGTTTCTCAGCTGACTCTTGCATTTTGCTCAGGAATTCAGCAGTACCTGACTTTGCAATGGTTCCAAGATTGTTCACTAAATCTTTCTTTGTCATTCCAATACCAGTATCAGTGATATGAAGAGCTCTATTTTCCTTATCAGCCTTTATCTTTATAGAAAGTTCGCCTGTAGATTCCAAGACAGAGGAATCTGTCAGGGATAGCAGACGGATTTTATCGAGGGCATCCGAAGCATTGGAGATCAACTCTCTCAGGTATATCTGAAAAGCAAGACGACAGTTCATTACAAATCTCAACTCAACTAGCTAAGAGCAACATTACGTCAATTTCTTAATTACCTCTTTGTTCCTGTACAGAGAGTTAATAATCAATTTCATCATACGGTTCACTTCAGCCTGGAATGTAAACTTCTCTGCATTTTCTCGCAGCTCCTTAACTTGGGCAGCATTTAGTCCATCTAGTTTAATAGCTTCACCTTCGCGCTGAACAACCTCAGCATCTGTGAACAACAGGTTCGTAAGATACAAAAAATACAATTTGCCTTAAGATTGATAACATGAAGAAGATTGGTAATTTAGACTCACCTGTCCTGGATCCTTCACGGCTGACACCAAGATCAACATCAAGATTCACTGAATCTGAGACTACGTCATCAGCCAGAGAGAGATCGGTAGCAAATCCTGTACACAGAGAAGGTTGTTACGACCAACATACAGAAAACACAGAAGCAGTCGAAAGAACGAATGTGGAACAAAGCGGTCTGAGAAGAAAGAAGCTCCTATTGCAATGATAGCATAAATAATGGTGGAGCTGGGTTAACAATGACGGACGAAAGGGAGGGCCGGAGCCGCCGGTTTCGAAGTGTCCTGAACACCACGAACCAGAGCAAGACCAGGACCGAGGGAAATCGATATCAACGGAATCACAAGAATTTGTTTTGAATGGACCAAAACACCTAAAACTAAACCGACTGACAGGGCAATAAGTAACGCTTCAAAAGCCACTGCTAACCTTCCAAAAATCGTCTGCTTTCCGAAATAAATTATTAGGAAACAGTCGGAGGACTTACCAACTAACAGGGTGATTCCCAGTACATAAACTAGAAGGGGAGGCCTCATCTTGAACCGCAACTCGGGTACTTCAGCCCCGACAGGCGACAAAACGGGTACTACGCGACGTCGCGCTACTCCTGGCTCCTGCCGTCAAGCACTTGTAAATCTGACTGCTTCTGGAAAGATTTGCAACAACCAATCAGCCTTCACCACGCGAGAGATGCTGTTTTGTTCCTTATTTGTCGAAATGTGATTGGTCCACAGCAATCCACTCCCACTTGAGAGCTACCAACTTAATCGAAAATGAAAATGTGTCACTGTCGTTTGATCCCGACGTACATACAGCGAAAACTCAGTGGAACAAAAATGTTGCTAAGAGTCTCTGTCCAGCCAAGGTCCTACTTATCTTGAAATAAGTGTTTTGAGATATGTGTGGCAGCATTGTTTCCGTGTGTTGGTCACTTTGGTCAGTTGCTCGAAAAAGTGGGTGTCGACTGGAACGCCCCTGTTCCCCTGTTCTTCTGTCAACCCCTGTCAAATCGCAACACGATCTGATTTTGCCCCAGAATTCTTTATCGAAGACATAAAATGCCGTGAATCAACTTTGGTTGGAATCAGTGCCATAGATTAGTGGTCCGTTCAGCCATTGGCTGCCGTTGGCACGTTCAGTTACTATGTTTACTAATGAAGTGTGGGAACGGGTGTCTTGGGCTGGGTATCAAAACCCTTGTTAAATCCCCACATTAACCTGATATGACCGATATCAGGCCGTAATTTCAAAGAACTTTCTTTTCTTCGTCTTCAATTAGCAATCATACCATAGCCTATTAGACATCAAATTGTGAAGATGTGCCTGCTAACCAGCGCCATTGTTGGAGCTCTTGAGGAGCTTGAGGATTCAAGCGTCGTCTGCTATCAGTCAACTTTTCCAACTTACTGCCCATCAATCCCATCAACTCAGACGGGATAGTCGTTCTTGTTTTGGAGTACAATTGCGAGAAATGTCACCTTCTCGCAATTGAGCATATCAAGAAGGTACTGTTAATGTCTAAGTCTAATGTATAACCCTTTCCTCTTTAACCATAAATGTTGGAACCAACTCGTCTCTTTCTAAGTTTCTAAATTTAAGCGACTGCTTTACGAGTCTCGTTTAGTTCTGTATCTTATCGTAGTTTATTGGTTTCTGTTTGGTGCAGGGAACTCATGGTTGGAAATGTCAAATGACGAAGATACGCCCATTTCCATTTTGGAGCTTTGGCGCCTAAAGGTAGGCAACCCATTCATCAGCTGTGTTTTGCGGGCGTGGGCGTCATGAACTTGGAAGCGTGCGCCCCCCACCCCCGATTTTATGGTCTTAGTCTATGTCTCTCTGTTCTACTTTTTTCTGCCGTGATATCAAGATAAACACTTTGCAAGTTACTTTGAATTAATGAACTATAGTTTATCTGCTCAATTGCGTTTTATGGGTAGAATATAAAGGCAGAGGTTACACATTGAACTTCATACATAGTACCCTCAGCAACCCTTATTAAATAACCCTTATTTTATATTTATTTTATTCTATTCTCTCTGCAGTTCAACATGTCTCTTCTTGGAGAATGCCGTGATATCAACGGATTAGCTGTCAAGCATGGCCTTATGTACATGGCTGGCCCTGGGGAATGCCACCAGTGTGTGTGTGAGAGTGGCGTGCCAAAGAATTGCCAAGATGTTATGTGCCATCAACCTCAGGCAAGTGCAGTTTGCAGTTACAGCTTATTCTCAGAAGAAAAGAGATTAAATGCTCATTTCACCATATTCTTTCAGAACTGCTCAACATTCAGAAAGGGGGCACGTTGCTGTGATTTTGTTTGCCTTGATGATCTCTCATCAGGAAAAACTGATGTTGTTAGCTTGGAAGGTGACTTTGGGCTCCGTCTTATAGCTTCAGTCATCACAGCAATCCTGTCTTTTTCTCTTCTTTTCTTCCTTATACATCGTCTAAGGCAAAGAAAGATACGTTGTAAGTTAAACCTTATGATTTTTGAGGTCTGCTTTTAGTTTGTCAGAGATGTTAATTATGCAATTGATACAATCATACAATTGGTCAATTGCAGCTGGACGTCAAAATAGACAGATGAATGAAGATGAGCGGAGCTTGGGAAGTATTGGGTACATAACGGGCTCTTTGGGCTACCTTCCTGGAGCCATGGAGCGTTACGAAGAACCTGCAGCTCACTTTCCTCACTACCCTTTGTGGAAACCTCCTGGAAATTACTTTCCTCGAGGGGAGGCGCCACCTCCATATGAGGAAGCAGTAGCTGCTACTCGTGCAGAAGCATTGGCAGTTGCTATGGCAAGTGGAAATCTGCATTCAGCCCATCCAAACTACAGGTTTGTAGTTGTTTTGCTTCTTGCCAAGTGGCAGTAAATTTTGTATAATGTCAATTTCTCACATATTTCATTGATTATCATTCGACATCTGCTCATTATTGTTTATCTCCCCATTATTGCACACTTCCAACCAATTCTGTTTCAGCCGAGATGCTCTGATGGGTGTCAGTGCTTGTAATTACAACACATATTCTGCTGGTAATTTGCTGAGTGGCACTGCTCATCGAACAATCCCTATCAATCTTGCAACAAGTGCCAGTTTCACTTTGCAACCTGATCGCTAGTAAGATTTTTCCACCTTGCTGACTTGAAGGAAATTGTCCTCTAGCAGCATTAATTATATCTTTAACCCCTATTCTCTTTGCAGTGATGACAACCCGGCCGCTGGAGGGGCTTCTTGTGTATCTGTTTCTGCAGGTACAGTGCAGGTCACAGCAACTGTCACTGGGCCACAGATCCCAAGACCGGATTTGCTTCACTCTGACATTGCTCTTATAAGACAAGGAGATCCTTCTTCCCGGTCCAGTACCCTCAGACGTAGTGACATGACAACACGAGCTGAAATTAGTCACAGGCCAGACCAAAATCTAAGAGCTGATGTAGGACGTAATCATCGTCCTGAAGCATTCCAATGGTCAGACGCTCCTCACAGACCTGATGCTGGCCATCGGTCTGATGGAGTTCATTGCCCAGATTCAGCTCATTGCTCTAATTCTAGTCATCGAACGGATGCTGGACATCGATCTGATAATAACCATCGTCTAGAAACTGGGCTTCAATTAGAAACCGTCCATGGCATGGATGGTATCCCACGAACAGAACTGAACCAGTACTCAGATTCTCACCGAAATGATGTGAACCACCGACCTGATATGCCTCACAGGAAAGAAACTCCGCACCACCTGGATCCTAGTCATAGTCACATTCAAGTGGACATCAATGATCGTTCAAGCCATAGACCTGATAATCATCACCGTCATGATTTTTCACATCGAGATGTGGGTCATAGAGACATGTGGCGGCAAGATGCAAATGACTCAGTGAATTTCCGAGGGGATGAAAGAAGACTCCCATCCATACCCCTTCCTGAGAATTCACACTCTCTACCTCCTCACCACTCGCACAGCATACATCATCAAGTTCACAATGTTGGACAGACTCTTCACCAAACTGCAACAATCCATACCCATTCATATGGAAGGCAACTTCAGACAACAACTGTGGGCCATATGGAGATACCTGCTCCAATCCCAGGCCCAGATTTGGATCCAAAGGATAGGAAGGCTGGGTCCTCCAAAATGGTCATCCCACAGTTAGCTAATGTTCCCAAATCTGGAACAGGCGTGTACGAAGACTCTTTTCATACAGCTGTTATAGATAGCTCTCATCTTCACACTGCAACTTTGCGACGAGGGAAGCACCACAGTACAGCAGGAAACGGGATGGTCACCTTGAGGTAATTTTGAAAAACCGTTTGTTTGTCTTTGTCCTTTTAGTAGTTATGAACACTTTTTAATTCTGGTTAAAATTTCTGTCTGGTTCTTGATATGTCATAGAAGGAACCCAGTACCTGTGGCCACCCCCACACTAAAAATGGTACCATCTCAGCCAATGCTGAGTGACTCTACCTGTGTAGCTTCAAGTGGCATGCCTGGCCCAACGTCCTCGTCATCGGCCATTAGCATTCCTCCTCCAACCATACCATCCATGGAAGCTCAGAGTAACATGGCTTGCGTGAGCGCCCCTTCAACTGCGTCTGTGATGGCAGCCATTGTAGCGGCCTCACCCCCGAGGTGCACTTGCCCCAAAGCATCAAGCCCTAGATGCACTTGCCCAGGAAGCTGCCATAGTAGCATTATGAGCCTAGCTGTGAATGAGGCCTCCTTGCCCCAGAACAGCAATGTTTCCCTCGCCCAGGCTGGTCTCGATGACAATGATGATTATCGCAGTGAATGTGAGAATTGTAAGAGCACTCACAGCTCCAACTATTATTTGGATGCAGAGGAACCAGAGCCTGAAATAACGATGACATTGCATCGTAAACCTGCGGATACTAGTGAAGAGAATGGGAATGCCTATTATCGCACAAGCCTCACTTTGCCCACTCGACACAGGTAAGAAATCGACAAATTTCTCCCTACAAAAATGATCTTTTTCAAGAAAAATTGCTTCTTAAAGTATTTTTTCTTGAAACAAAACTGAAGATTTGGTTTGACAAAAATTGTTTTATTTTAGGGTGATTCCTCTCCATGGTAGCGGAGCAAGAGACAACTGGTTTAGCAGTATGCCAGAATCATCGTCTGATGATGAATCAGATGAATGATAGGTACCACATTTCCTTTTTTATTTCTTGAAACACAATCACTCTTACGTTGAAAAAAAATCTTCATTCACTTCTCTGTATTTTTTATAGGTGCAGCAAAAACTCGTGTATTGGAACCATGGCCTCAGAATCAAGATATTTCAGTATTTCAGCCACCAAAGTTTAACTAACTATGCAAGCAAAGTATTATTTTTTTGTGATTACCTTACAAGTATTGCCTTTTTTTTTGTTTTATAGTTTTATATATTATTTTTTACTTTTTAATGTCACATTCCACAGGCTCTGTTTTGCTCTTTTCCTTTTATACTCATGCTGGTAATGAGTTTCATTTTATTCATTTGATGTTTGGTTTGTTTGTTGTTTCTTTGGGTTGTGACCATTCATGCTCATCATAAATAAATCAAAATATGTCACTTCTTGAACCGTTAAGTTATGACCTTAACTTGTGTGATTAAAACTGTGTCTTCTTTATGTTTAGCTCAATTTGACCTGGACTTACAATGTTTAAAAATTTATTGTAATATTTAAAACTTCATTTATGCTTGGTTTCACCATGATTTAGGAACTGGACTCATTATTTAAGTTTCTGTACTACTTTCGGGAGGTAAATTACTATTGATTTAGTATTATGCTCACTGACAACTCATATAGAATCAATCTCACTCCATAAAAAAATAACTGGCCAACTGAAACTGTTCAGTCTCCATCCATGCACCTCATAAACATTTAAGATTTACTTAAGCTGAGTGTTGTCAAATTGTAGCTAGGATATTAGTGACAGATGAAACAGTTCAAATGATGGGGAGATAGTTGGAGAAGTAGCCAAAACAAGTTGAACCTGGAATCTCGTCAGTACAATTTATGGAAAGAAGTCTGTAAGTTGAAGCCTAAAGATTGTATATGTAATGAGTGGACTAATTAATGAAAGGATTTCTTCTTTAGCTGATATTGTAAATATTGAAACATTTTCCTTGCCACTACCTAACCTGTGATACAAATGTAATGCTTTGAATGAGTTGCTATTTATTTGTAATTCTGCAACCAAATTGCTCATTTTATTATGCTTGAACCTGAAAGTTATTGTAGTTCTGGAATACAAAGAAAAGACTACTTTGTAAAACCTAATGTTACCTAAACTGTTTGTTTGTTTTGTTTCTTTTAATTTTAAAATACTCTTATCCAATTGTCAGCTTTTCAACAATATGCCATTTTTTTAAAACTTCTTTGATTTATATTGTGTTTTTATGATTGTGCTAGATGTATTTTCGCTCATCTGCATTGATTTAAAATGCCTATAATTATGGTACTACTACTATTTTAACAAAACAAAGCCTCTCTGAACTAGCAAGTTAATGTGATTCTGAATTATATTATGTGTCAATTGACATGCTAACATGTAGGGTTAACATTTAGTCTGTGTACTCAGATACTACCTTGTGATTAATGTAAACCCATACATTCCTATCCATTAACAGGTGTAGATAAATTGTTCTACCTAATGTCTGTGTGTTTTTTTCCTGAAAGATTTCATGTGTACAGTCCAAATGTCTTCAGTGTGATTTCTCATATTGAATACCTTGTAATTTGGTTAGCATGTCTATTTACACATGCAGTGATAGTCCCATATTATCTTACTGAGACTGTAAGTTAAGTTGATGTCGAAACGAAATGTGCCAAAGAATATGGTTGTCCATTAAATTCATCATGATGACATAGTTATAGGAGAAATAATGACAAGACATGTAAGGGCGAAACATCTGGACTTATTTCAAATTTTTACTGTTGATGGATTGTTTGTGTAATCTGAAGAAAAAATTGATGTGTTCATTATTTAATGAGAGTTGTAAGGTCTAGTAAGGCCTGAGTCTCTAATTTGTATAAAGTTGATCTAATCTGTTTGCTTGTGGAGAGTACCAAACACAACATACTTTGTTTGCTATGGGAAGGAACCCTTAGGGTATGTGCTGCTATTTTAATTGACAAAATGACACTCTTTTCATTGAGTTTAGTGTGTTTTCAAATCTTCATTGTTAGAATTTTCGTTTTTCATCTAGGAAAAAATATGAAAGACCAATAAATGGCTTCAGAGAGAATAGAAATCTATGTCATTCTATTTTCTTGCCATGCAACTATGTAAAACAGAGGATTTGCTTTATGATATGATTCTGCTTAATTGCCAGTCTGCTATGACAGGGACCAGTCCTGAACAACTTTTGCCTTCAACAGTTTTCAGGAATCAGCTTGGCTGCCAAGGATGAACATAACACCTGCAGTCTACAATATACATAGATTTGGCGCCTTTCCTAGAATCAATGGCACATAAAGATTACAAGGAAGTACAAGTGTCTTCTCCTCTGGAATTTTCTTGAAGTCAGTTTCTATTTACAACTCCTAAATTGTCTTTATTCTAATTAGTCTGCTCTTTGTCAAACAGGCATTTATTCAAACATTAATCAAAGATGAGTGTTGTTGAAAACAACTAAATTTGTAAGCACTATCTTAGCATATCTCACACCTTCTTTTTAGATCCGTTCAGGTATGTTGGTCTGATAATATGTATCAGACTGAGCCCCATTCCTCTGTGGAACATATTACTATTCTCAGTGTATTTCTTAATAATTAAGAATTATGTGTATAAATATGACAGCAATATGTATGTCTATAGCTGGTACAATGACTTACTCTTGCATTCTGTTTATATTATTCTTATGTTCTGTTTTTAATTCTCTGTGATATTGGTTTGGATTGAATAGAAATTCATACTGAGTGGATGTCTAAATACTTTGAAATGCGACCTCAGATGTGACATTTGCTAAATAATTTTCAGTATATTTTGTTTGCTGTGCAAAGTTTTAAATCCAAAGGAATGTTAATTGATTTTAAATGGCTGTGACACTAATTGTGGAGGTCTACTTCCCATTTTTCTTGCCCATTCTGATCCACATCTGAAGCTCCTTAGTTTTGATGTGGGCTTTCTGTCTCTTTTTTTTTTTTTTGTTAACAGATAATTTTACTGTTGATGAGAGCACTTTCTCTACAGGCCGAAATCGACCAAACTAATTTAATTAGGCAGTGTTATTTTCCTTAAATTATAACATCAGAAGCAGACTATTGTTTTCTGGATTGGACAAATGAAAATGCCAAGGAGATTCCATATGAGGGTAGCAATGTCACATCATATCAGTTAAGAGGGAGATGAGGAATCCCTTTGTTCCGTTTGAAATCTAATATAGCTATGTTATTAGATTCCTTGTGCAGCTTTCCTTTTTTTGTTGGGACAGCAATGAATGTGATCCTACTTAAGAGGGAAGGAAGGACCATTTCTAAGCCTGTGGGGTCCTGCTCCTCTACTGTCAAAGCTTTTATATTGGCTTGGTATTCAAACCCAGCCACATTACTTGCTCATGCTTGTCCTGTTTTCAATGTAAATAGATGCACTTCAAAGCAATCTTTCAACACATATATTACCAAAGATAAATGTACTAATATAATTTGTGTGTGTTCATGTTTGATGAAGTATGTGAAGAAGTGAGAATTATGTTTAATTCATTCATACCAAAAATACATGCTGAGTTTGGTGGAAACAGATGGAAAATTAGTATGTGCTAATCTTTTTTTTTTTCTGTATCAATAAAAAGACTTGTTAAGACATGCGTCTCTCTCTACTCACCTTGCTCTACTCTTTAATTTACCCATGCTCTGCCTACGATTAGAAAAAAATTATCAAAGTGGAAAAGAGCAGAGCTCGGAAAATGAGTTCCACTCTCTAAAATGTTGGAAAAAAAAAATACGACTTGAAACTGGAAATGCAACACACGGTGGGGGGAAAGGCGGCGCCAGTTTCAAACGCCCCTCGCCTCGGTCCGAGAGCACAAGACGCGCCCCGCCGCCCAGCGGGCTTTATGGCGCTACTGGTGATTGGCTGGGCACTGCCACTACATGAGGCATGGGGCAGACTTGTTTCACCAGCCCATTGCATAGAATGCGGAAAACGCGAATCTTTTTCTCGGATTTCCCTTGAAATTGAAAAGAACTGTACCAGGGGAGCAGGGCGCGGGAGGACGTCACCGCGGACACCTCTTCCAGCCCGCGCCGGTGGAGGGGGTAGGCCGGTAGGAGCCGGTAGGGGGTTGCCTGGTGGGTGGTGGGCTGTGGCTGCCCACCCCAGGGCAGTGCGTCAGCGCCGCCCGGCGCCCAGGGGTGTGCCGGGCCGGGCTGGTCCCGCTGGTCCACTGCGAGCTACCTCGACTTGTTCTGAATCTCGCAGCCGTTTCTGTCGCCACGCGCGCCACCAGAGCGAACATCGCCGTCAGTTTTCCGACATGACGTTCGCTGTGCTCTCCTGGGCGCACCACCCATTTGTTACGGCAAGAATAACCCCCGTATGATGCCCCTAGGTTCATTCCCGACATGGCCGACATGGCAGCAGGCACGCTTGTTCGAAGGGAAGGACCAACTCGACAAAGACTCGTGATTCACCCATTTGACGAATTCCGACACTGTGAGTCAGCTGCCGGCGGAGTGGCAAAGTTTGTTCAAGTGTCGATCATCGGCGAGCCTTCGTGACGGAAGTGGAAAAAGCCACACGTGGAATGTCTATTTTCGGCTCTATCGCCTGACGGATGGAATGGAGTGCTTCTTCGACCAAACCTGCATCATGACAAGATTGCGGTAAAATGAAAAGGGATCGTGCTGGGTGATGAGTGACTGGCGGCCGCCGGCGAGGTTTCCAACGTTCCCTACCCCCTCGGCGCGTCCGCGACGCACCTGTAGCCGTCGGGGGGAAGGCCCCTTGGCCGTTGGGTTGCCTGCCCACAGGCGCCTGGCTCTCGGGCGTGCTCGGCGAGGGGAGCTGGATGGGTGGCCTACCCGGCAATCCCGCAGGCGCTCCGTCTTTTCCACCCTGATCTCGACCCTCGACCAGCCGAGACGCCGAGACTGGCCGAGACCCCCGAGGCCGTGGTCGCCTTGGATACCGCCGAGACCGCATGGCCTGGCATTGCCTGGCATGGCCACAAAAGTGGCATGGCAACCAACGGCAACGCGCGGCGCGACTGTGACACTTGTCAAGTGCGTTGAACGGCTTGGTGCTAAATATAGTCGGTACTGATGTCGCCCGATAGGCCTGGCCCAGGCTGGCCCAGGCCCGGCCCTACTACCTCCCAAGGACGATGGCCCGTCGCGGCGGCGCGGCCGGCCGTCTCGGCAAACAACTTCATAAGGGCGAGGCAGCAGCGTGCAGCAGCGCTCGCCGTCCACTACTCCACTCTTAGCTTTCCCAGCCCCTCGCCTGGCTACTCCAGGGACTTCCCTGGCAAACGTCGTGAAACGCACGCCGTCCTCCGCGTGTCGAACTAGACGCGGCAGGGGCTTCTCTTTGTGTCGTGTTCGGAACGGAAACAGGGGGACATTTCGACGGAGTAAACAAAACGTTCTCAGGTTGGTGGCGTCGGTGTCGTCGTCGGCGCCGTCTTGGCTGGGAGCGCCCCTCGTCTTGCACGTCGCGGTGCCGTGCCGCTGCCACCGCCTGCCGCCGCCGCGCGGTGCTGCCCTCTGGCGAGGAAGCGAGGAGCCGCGCAGCGCGAGCGGCTGTACCCCCCGTGGCAGAGACCCTGCAGATCCTTCTCGCAAACTTGCTTAGCCAGATGAAGAAATAAAAGGGAGTGGTGTTGGAGAGTGAGGCCGTGGCCGTGCCATGCCGTGCCGTGCCTCCTCAGGGCGACTGGGACGACTTGCTGTCTGCCAAGGCGCGACGCGACGCGATGTTGCGGCTCGATGCCCGATGTCGTGGCCCAATGTGACTCACACTGTGATAACGCGTCGCGCGCAGCCTGGCGCAGCCCAGGACCCTGTCCGTCCGCCCTGTCGCCTTCCTTGTCCCAACTCGGACAGGAAATGTGTCAGGGTGGCAAAGGCAAAGGCAAAACGAGGCGAAGCGCGATGTGCGTGCAGGCGCAGGCCGCAGGGTGCAGGGGACGTGCAACCACAATCACAAGGCCCATAGCTCCTGCTTGCTGCTGTTGCTGTCGCTGTCACTGCTCTGCAAAACTAAACAAAGCCCCTCGCGTCACTGCGCGGTGCGCGAACCATCCCGAGCGGCCAGGCCCCGCCGGGGCCCTGCACGGGACGCCGAGGACGCATTGCCGGCCTTGCATCTCCGAATACTAATGAGATCCCGGTGACGTCACTGGGCCCAGGGGTGCACCGGGCGCGGCGCGGCGGGCGGGGAAGTCCCAGGCAAGACGCGCCGGCAGCGCCGGCAGCGCGGCGCACTGCGTGGACTTGAACGGGCTAAAAGGACTAAGGGGGCGGTACACCGCAGGGGCTTGCCCGGGCTTGCCGCTCGCTCAGCTCGACGGGGAGGATGCGACGGCGAGGGTGTGGCGCATGGCCTGACGGACGAGGTGTGAGGTGGCGCGGCGTGACGTGCGGCGCGGCGGCCTTCTGACAGGGAAGTTCCAACGTGGCCGCCGCGCGGTAGCTGTGTGAGTGAGTGTGCCTAGGCGCGCGCGATTGTCTCATGCAACGTGTAACGTCGTGGGGGCGTTCTGACTCATTGATAGGGTCGGCAAGGCGCGCGGCGCGCATTCGCGCGAGCTCCACTCCGCCGCCAAGCAGGTCGGCAACCGCTGGGGCCGCCCCCCCGCGGCTTACCCCAGATTGCGGTGACTTGCGCGCATGCGGTCAGTGCGTTGCATCCACGTTGCATTTCGCGCCATCATTGCGCATTGTTGCAACTGCAATTAATTGCTTTTTTGCGTTGCGATGCCATCTGGTGTGCGGCCTGCACCGCCTGCGCCGCCTGCTCGGAGCGCGAGGTGCCGCGCCGTGTCCGCAGTGGCCATCGGCCATCGGCCATCGGCCATCGGATCGGCCATCGCGACAGCTGTTGTGCCGCGGACACCAAGGCCGCCTAGGCCGCTGAGCTGACTCGCACTCAGCGAGCGAGCGCCAGCGCTAGAGTTAGTGAGTCTGTACTGTAAGGAACTGAGTTACCGTCACGATGTTAATAGAATCGCTCTGTACCGGGAAAATGTCGCATGCACACACCCACTCACTCTCTCACTGGCCGCACGCGCGCGCGAGGGGCGCGAGGGGCCTGGCTGCTCCTGCCTGGCCGGGATTGCTGGCCTCTGGCCGCTGGGAGATTCCCGGTAACTGTCTTTCTCTTGGCATCGCGAAGCGGCGCAGCGGAGGGCTGGCTGCTCTTCGCTTGCTTCGCGCTTCGCTCTTTGTCGCCATGCAGGACGCCAAAGCCGAAAGCAGACTGGGCTGTGAAGTCATGGGTATTCTTGGGGCGCACCGCGCAGCACCGCGCAGCACCGCACAACACCGCGCAGCACAGTGCTACGGTTGGCGGGACGGGCTTCGAGACGGCCTCTGTGGCGAGCCGAAGGAACTGAAGGGGCTGAAGGGGCTGACGGAGCTGAGGGTGCTGAAGGTGCTGCAGGAGCTGAAGGGCCCCCGCGCCGCGGCCGCCACGTCGCACGCCTCGGCGCACGCCGCGCCGCCGTCAGGTGGAGGAACACTTGCACACTTGTCCATCGAGGATCGAGGCCAGGCGCCGCCAGGCCCTTGGGATTCTGCAAATGCGGCCTTCGCAGCGCGTGGCTAGGCCGATAACCAATTGGGTCGCTCGGCGGCACGGCGGCACGGCGCCGCACCGGCCAGGCTGGCTATCATCCGGCACGGCTTCGCGGCGGGGCGCGGGCCGGCACGGCCACGGCCAGGGCACGGCGCCGCCCTGCCCCAGTTCGCCCTCTCCTCTATTAATACCGATCAAAGCTGTTCAAACAGGCCACGCTTCCGCCATTCCGCGATTCGCGGCCGCCAAGTCACCCGGCGAATCTGCTATCATTTTCGCCGGCCGGCTGGCCTCTCTGGGCGCCGCGCTCAAGTGGAGCGCCTTCGATGCAACGCCAACGGGTGCGACGCGACGCTCTAGGGCGCCGCCGTCAGCATTCGCAGAGCGATTGCGAAGAGTCGTTTGTGTCTCTGTCGTACTCTTTGGGCGGCCCGTAGGCCCGTAGGGGCGCGAGAGAGAGAGAGAGACAGGGGCGTCGCACTGCCGGACTGGACTAGCCGGACTGGGATGACGGCAGTAGGCTGTGGGATGGATCCATGGATCTGGGGCGACGGCGACGCGCGACACCGCCGACATCTCGAGCGAGCCGTGAGGCCGACCGCGTGCCGCGTGCCTTGCCCCGTGCATGGTCCCGTGCCGCGTGCCGCGTGCCTTGCCCCGTGCCGTGCCCCGTGCCGTGCCGCGTCCACGTCAGCAGCGTCGCCTCGTCAATTCGAAGGGCGGGTCGTGTGTTTCCCCGTACCCATAAATGAAAGACAAGCATTTCGCAACGACGCCGGGAAACCCTTTCTCTTTTCCGCGAGGGCTGGGGCAGCGCCGGGCAGAGCCGGGCAGGCTGGGACGGGCATAGGGCGTCACTGTACAGGCCTTGACCAGGCACGCCACGCCACGCACAGGATGCCCACCACCGGCATGCCATCGGCACGAATACTAAAGCGGAATGCACTCGCAGAAATGGGACGCGGCAGCAGGCTGCTTCCGAACAAGGCTGTCGTCGCTCGCTGCCCCTCGCACTCATAGGCGTCGCGGAGAGGTGCGAGAGAGACAGAGCGACACAGCCCGACCTGTGG